ACTGAGACACTGTTTTTTCATGGAGTTTGGAAAAGAATGGCAGATTTGTGATTAGTCTACACTTGGGCTTCAAATCCACATGTCTGATTTCCTCCAGACATGACGCTTAGAACTGAGTGCAAACAGTTCAGTCCTGGTCTCTTCAGGCCAGAGAATCTGGTTTCTCATAGTCTCAGAGTCCTTTTGCTGCTTCTTTACAAATGGTCACTGAGGAGAGGCTTCATCGGGACACTGTGAGATAAAGCACAAATCAGTGGAAAGCTGATGGTTGTTCTTCTGGAAGTTTCTCCATCTCCACACAGGATCTCTGGAGCTCTGGAGCTCTGGGGCTCAGTCACCATGAGGTTCTTGGTTTCCTCTCTTCTCCCTGATGTATCAGTTAGTTTAGGTCCAGCTCTAGAAGAGTCCTGGTTGTTCCAGACTTCTTCATGTCAGAATGATGATAACCACTTTTCTTCTTGGGAACCTCCAGTGCAGCAGAAATGTATCTGAGCTCTGCAGCGGTTCCTTCCTCCTCATGGTTTCTGCTCTGATCAGTGTGTGTAATTACACATCATGTCCAATCAGCTGAGTTTACCACAGGTTGAAAAAGATCATCTCAGAGACGATCAAAAGAAATGGAGGAACCCTATTAAAGTGTCTGAATACTTATGTCAGTGTAATATTTCAGGTTTTACTTTTTAATACATTTCAAAAAAATTCCTAAATCCAGTGTTCACTTTATCATTATGGAGGACTGAGTGTAGACAGTGTGTCAAAAAGTATTAAGAAAGAGACTCATTGTTGGTTTGGTTGAGTCTTTTCATGGGATTTGTCGACAATAAGAAAAATATACATAAACAGTAGACTGATCCTTTAAACTTCATGGTCCTCTCTCTGCAGGAGGAGGACATTTTGAAAGTCTGGCGTGGAGCACAGAGAAGCAGGCCACAGAGGAGGGGGCCCAGCCTCTCTCACAGCCCAGCTGTGTAGATGGAGCGGCTCCACTGGGTGCGCCACCGCTGTCGGGCGCTGTTAGGAGAAGACTCGGGGCGAGGCTGGTACTCTCCCGCCGATGGCCTGTCCACCAAAAACTCCCTGGATGCCCACCGCTCTCCACACAGAGGCAGTGGGAAGAGGAGAACAGTGTTTGCCCGACATGGACCTAACCAACACGAGTACGAAGCTGTCTGCAAAGGCTACAAGGGCAACGCCATCCGGACTACCAAGTACAGGTTCCTGACCTTCATCCCCATGAACCTCTTTCAGCAGTTCCACAGGTCAGATAAGTACTTCGGCAAATAACACAAAATAATTTCATATAATCATTTGTCCCTTTGAGATGAGAATGGTATCAATGTAGGACTACAATGTATTAATTAAACTGAAATGTTTTAGTTATGTATGAAAGGATCACACAGAACCAGACCTGCATACCTCATGTCCCTACAAAGAATGCATTGCTCTACATCTTAGACTGGGTTTCTCCTGATAGCCTTTAGTTTCCACAGTGATGGATCACCCATACAAACGTTTCACTTCTCTGTAGATTATGTTCATGCAGGTTAAACCTGTTTATCAGTGTGTTGTGCAGTTCTATGACCTTCCTCCTGATACGAACACACTGCCCGTCTGAGGTGTACAGTAGCTTTAACTCAATTATAGTTGGATAACACTGGGATCTAGGCCCACTTTTAACAACAGGTAGATTACCATGGTAACCTAAGCTCCAACAATCGGTATCACAAATGCTAATGCTAAAGCAAACAAATGGGCTGTGTCTGAAATCACTCCCTACTCTCTATAGTCCACCATAGTCCACACTGTCCGAATGTATAGTGAGAATTATTATACCCTACTTAGTGGACTCATAATATCCCACAATGCATCATGAAAAGTATGATGGTCACTAACCAAGCAATATATACCATCATGCATTGCGCTTATGCTGAAAGACAGAAAAATGGTGTGGAGAAAAAGACCTGAGTACACTACTCAGGTCTTTTTCTCCACACCATAAAGTGTGTTTTCATTTTGCAGATAAGCTCAATATATAGTGATTTCAGACACAACCATGGTCTCCTTGGAAACTGAAATCTCTTTCATTGCTGTAAATGCCTTAGTGTTTTCCTTAACTAAGGAAACCTTTGAAGAGATTCTGTGCAACACCCTGAAGTAACTCCCTCAGCTAAGGAGAAATGAAACCTTAAGTGTCATACTTAAGTAGAAACCTGACAGCCTAACCTAACAGAAGATCAGATCAAACCTGACAGCTGACCCTGCTGACCAATCATCATTCCTACAGGAACCTGACTGGGACAAACTTACAGTAATAGAGTCATAGGTCTGGTTAAGGGTCAGTAGAATCATTGAGGTGTTTCAGGATTTCCATGTGCCCACTCTGGTTTTAAAGCCTCTCCTCTCCTCTCCTCTCCTCTCCTTTCCTCCTTACCTCTCCTGGATCAGTAAACCCAGACTTAACTGAGCCATTTAATAGCAGTAATCCAGGACCACTAGTGAAGACTGGTGTATCTGTTTGTGCATACACAATCGTTATAAATGAGGCCCCTGGTCTCTCCTCTGCAGGGCTGCCAACCTCTACTTCCTGTTCCTGGCATTGTTGAACTGGGTGCCGGTAGTTGAAGCCTTTCAGAAGGAGATTACCATGATCCCTCTGGTGGTGGTTCTCACCGTTATCGCCATCAAAGACGCCCTGGAGGACTACAGGCGGTATTTGTTCGACAAGAAGGTCAACAGCAACGTGGCACGAGTCTTCTGTGGGTGAGTGACCCTCTGTCTCTGACGTCCGTGGTGAGCGACAATGCTAACCTCAGCCTCTAGGGGAACGTAGACTCAGAGCTCATAGATGGATCCTGGTTAGCAGTGAGACATCAGGTATGATAGCAACTAGCTGAACTACACCACCATGATGAATATGTTTTAGACAGAGGAGCACACTGACACATACTGGTTCAGTCAGTGGGTTGTTTAGCGTGTGTCTATCTCAGCAGTAGAACATACAGGGATTCATAGCTACACGCTAAATGAGATCTAATTGGTTATTCAAACTGTGGACAGGTTCATCTGATGGACTTGATTTATTGACATGTGGCTCAGAAAGTGTTGAGGGAACTGTCTTTTACATTCTCCAGTTCAGTGAACACATTACTAACTACTGAGGACAGAGTTTGGTAAGCCTTTAATTTACAGGCAGTTAATTATGTAGTAATTATGGAGTAATGTGAAGAAATTACCAAGAGATAACAGTTTAAAAATTCATGACCGCTGTCATATCATCCTCTATCACAAGGAAATTATCAGTATGTTCACGTTCCACTTTACAGGCCATGGAGAAGAAACTACAGTGAGGGTTAGTTCTTGTTAACTACCCATATATTTCTAAGAAACAACGCACACTTCACTTTACAGACAGTGGTAAGGCGATCATGAATTAACCACGGTGACATTTCCAGCCGCCACATCTACTGTTCACAACAGTTGCAGTAGCGACCACTCCTCTCGGCTTATTGGAAGGTCAGACTGTGGAAATTACAAATACATTAGGTTCATTATACTGAAAGTACTTGGCTATGTGGAGGAAACTGGTTGCTGCGTTTATTTTGTGCGACAACAATGTTGACATGCTGATGGGTAATATATGAGACTTGGTATCACCTGCTAACAGCCTGTCTGTACAATGCAATAAGGGATATTAATGCCACTGATATAAATGGTAGCCACGTATGTGGACGATACTATACTTACTATAACAATTCCCATGTAATGACTGACCAACCTGTCTGGGTTTGGTGGTAGGTAGGGGTGGACCCAAATGCAGCCAGCTCTTGGGAGAACGGTTCAGACAGGTTTATTTTGAAAACGTGAACGTGACATGAACAAACCCAGAACAAAACTGACGAACCAACACAGACAAAGGGAAGCACAAGGACTATATAGACACAGGAGGCAAGGTGATTGCACACAGGTGAAACACATTAGGGCGGGGCAGACAATCACTACACAGAAACAAGACCAAGACAGGAAGCCAAAACACTGAGACACACAAGGAACCAAATTACAAAATAAAACAGGAAGTGCACGGGGAAACAGAGCAGAACAGTAACTCCCAGTGATTATACTAGAACAAGTTGTTATTATACTGATTTTACTTCTCTCTATATATATTGTGTTTTATATTTGGTCTAGTTTCACTCATGATTATCCCAGAAATACATTTTTATCAGCCTGTATTTTTTACAGCACATTATTGAACCTCCTACAGATCCTGTACTGCAGGATCAGAAACATTTCAAAAGCATTAGCTCACGTTAAATCACAGTGGGACTCATATGATTTTCCTCTGTGAGATCCAGCCTCAGGTGTCACCTGTGAAATGCTCCCAGGTGTCTCCTCTGTGTGGACTCAGGTGTGCAGGTACGGGACTTCAGTTCATGTTTGTCGTGAACAACACAGTATTGAATTTACGATATAGTTGTCTTCATAAGCTCAAACGTGACGTCAGCAGTCAGAAGTGAAACCTCAGGTATGATGACCTCTTGTGGTGATTTAAAAAGCACAGACTCAGTTTAAACTGCAGTTTCTGATGAGACAGCAATTTTAAATCCACCTTAAACTGCAGCATCTCCGCTTTCCCAGCATCCGGCCCCAACAACGACAGCTCCATACTGAGGATAGTTCTTCTATAGTAGTAGGAGTAGCAACACAATAAGCTCAAGAGACCTGGACAAATAAAATCCAAACCCACTGTCTGACCAGATCCCATCAGCACAGTGAGAAAACACAGTGCAACAGCTCCTGTATTTTCTCCTGTTTTTGATTGTGTTCTGTGCTGGACCAGAAAAACAACGCATCCTGACTACTTTCACTTTCTGGTGTTTTCTACCTCCTTCTCCACATCTGCATGTTTCCTCTTCACCATCACAGTCACACTGCGGTATGTAAAACAACATCATGAGTCACGGTCTTGTGACATTCAAAACTTAAATCTCAAACCACCGTCTTTTTCTAAACCTCACAGTTCTTCTAAACTGAGGAAAACGTTGAGTCCCAAATTAAACCTGTACTTCCTGTCAGCGTTTGAGAAGCTGCTGTACTGTGAAACTGTAGCTGGTGACACTACAGGGCAGTCTGTAGAGAAAGTGGTTCAACAACAGCAACACCACACTGTGATGAAAATAAAAAGCTGCTCAGAGAAAGTAGCTCCTGGACGCTTCATCTGCACACAGGAAGCTCAGAGACCATCGGGTTCAACTGTAAATATATAAAACTGCCCATCAATCAAAAACCAATAACCCATAATGACAAACTAAAAATGTGTTTAAAATGTATTAAAAAATCAAAGAGTAAAATCTGTCATTTACAAAAGTCTTCAGAGCCTTAATCCAGTTGTATGTAGGACCCCCTTCAGCAGCAGGTCCAGCTTCAGTCTTCTCTACAAGCTCTGAACCTGGATCTGGACAGTTTTCAGTCTTCCTGATACCGATCCTCTCAGTTTAGGCCGGGACACTCTGGGACAGTCAGAGACTTGTCCTTAAGCTTCAGGTCATTGTGGAGCTGAAAGGTGAACTGTCGCTCCAGTCTCAGGTCCCTGGACTCTGGATCAGGTTTTTTTCAAGGACCTCTCTTGTATTTGGCTGCTTTCATCCTTCCATCAGGTCTGACCAGTCTTCATCAGAGCATGCTGTTCAGTTTTCTAACACGAATTTGAAGGACCATCATGAAGTTAGTGACAGCTCAGTCTGCTGCTTTCCTGACCCTCCTTTGTCCTACATCGTATTACACAACCTGTCTCTGAGGAGGTTGTAAAACCTGAACCTTGAGCTTGCTTACAGCGCCAGGGCCTGTAGAGGAGTGCCAAAGACCACAGAACAGATGGTTAATGATCCACTCAGCTCCTCACTCCCATCTTCATCTCAACGGTCAGTTCGAAGAAGCACGGCAGGAACATGGAGGAAGGAATGAGATCAGGATTACACCTGGAGAACAACAGGTAGGTAAGGCTTCTATAGGTGGAGACATAGACTGGCAGGTGGACCTGAACCCCCAGGAACCTGGACTCATGTTCAGCTCTGCCAAGAAGCAGCTGCTGAAGAAGAGGACGGTGGTACCTTCGTCTACAGAGGATGAGGAGCTGAGTCGACTCCTGAAGTTGTATAAGAGCAACAAGATCCGGACCACCAAGTACTCCCTGCTCTCCTTCCTGCCCAGGAACCTGTTCGAGCAGCTCCACCGCTCAGCCAACATCTACTTCATCTTCCTCGCTGCTCTCAACTTCGTCCCAGTGGTGGAAGCTTTCCAGCCAGAGATCGCTCTGGTTCCCATCATCCTGGTGCTGTTGGTGACGGCTGTGAAGGACGTCCTGGAGGACTACTGCAGGTTTAGGTCAGATCACCTGATCAACAGAATCCTCTGCCATGTTTACAGCAGGTTGGTTGATGTGGCAGCAAACGCCATCGTCTCTCATTGTTGCGGCTGAATTCTCTTTCATGTTAGAAGAGGTGGTCCAAGGTTTTTAGTTCTGTTCTGTTACCACAAATGAGAATGAACGAATTAAACTCAACACAAAACATTTGACGAACCACTTAGAGGAGTGGACCTTGAGTCACATTCTTTTTCTACAGTTTCCAAGGTAAAGAATGAACCTTCAAGCTCAATTTAAAAAAAAAAAAAAAAAAAAAAAAAAAAAAAAACATCTGTGGACAAAACACTGAATAAATAAGTAAAGTACATATAAGCTACAATGAAACAGAGTCACAGAGAAAGTAACTTTGTCTGGTTTCTGTCTTGTTAAACTGTGGGTGGTCAAAACAGTTCAGATCAAGACGTCCAGTCATGACGAGTGAAGAACAGCAGCCAGTCCATCAATGAACTTAAGTTGTAGGCGATGTGACAGGAGGTATTACAAAAGTCTGATTAATGTAACGTGTCACATTGGTTCTGTAACTAAAAATTTCCCCCTCTGGTGTCTGGTAAATATTTATTGTTAAATGCTTTTTAATAATGTAGTTTCAGTTTTATTTTCAGTGTGACTGTTTGTATTTTCAGACATCAAAAATAAACCTGATTTAAATCTTGGCTTTTTTTAAACATGTCTGCACCACATTATATCTGTGCTGTGGTTTTAGTAGTTAATCACAGTGACCTCATGATGTCACATGACTGTACAGGTGCGGCGTTTCCTCTGGTCTGATGTATCACAGTCACTGCCTGGAAAGGGTGTTGGATTGTAATAATTAACCACAGGCTGTATCACTGTGTGCAAATAACCAGAGGCCGTTTTATTTATATCTGATCTGAAGAGTGCAGACTCTGTCTTGACCTTACACCCTCACAACATCCAACTGGTTTAAACAGTCCCATACAGTCTCCAGACACATGAATTACTGTGACAATAAAAGGTTATACAGTTTAGTGTTAATATAGTGTTTGATTCACTCTCATTCAACTTCACACATAAATTCTTACAAGAGTTATGATGATGTGTCTCAGCTGAAAGAGTCTGTTTACATGTTTAACTGATGGCCACTGAAGATGAAGTCACACAGATCTGTGTTCAGTGAGCTGATGAGCTGATGGGAGCTGCTGGTTGTAATCACCTGATTAAAGCTACTGGTTATACTCAGATGATTAAAGCTGCTGGTTGTAATCAGCTAAGTAAAGCTAAGTAAAAGTACAGTGTAGAAATACTGCATTAGAATTAGAAACACATATGTCTAAATGCTAAATGTATTGAAAGTATCAACAGTAAAATTACTGTGCCTAAAAGGTCACATGTCACATGCTACTCGTTGACCTCCACTGGCTACCCATGACCTCCTGAATTAGATTCAAGTCACTAATGCTGCCTTCAGAGTGACTTCTGGGTCTGCTCCATCTACCTGAACTCAATTATTCAGCCTCATGCTTTTCAGCCACTGTGTTCCGTGTGGTCCGGCACACAAGACAGTCTCAGTCCAGTCTGTTCTGGTCTGTGGTTCCCTGATGGTGGAACAAGCTACTAAAGTCTATCAGAGCAGAGCGTCCCTCTCTGTCTTCAAGAATCTGCTGAAGACTCCTCTCTTCAGAGAGCAACTCCTCTAACACCTCTAACACCCTCACATGTCTAACGAGCTCTTACTGTGAAGCCTCACTGCACCTCTTTACCTCATCTCCTTCACTTTGGATAAAAGCGTCTGACAGATGAGTAAATGTAAATGTAAAATTATTAGATATCCCAATATTAGATTGTTAATATTAATGTGTCAGTGTATAAGTTGGCTGAGGGGGAGCTAGTTTCATCTACTCCATACTCAGCTGGACAGTGCAGTGTTTCTCAGCCTAGAGGAACACTGTGTATTTCCAGCAGTCAGTGGCATCTTCTCTGAGCTTTCTACAATAAAGTGAAATAACACAAAATAATGATATTGCGACCTCTCTGCGTCCTTTAATCTACACTGTAACCTGATGTTCACCAGAGGTTGTGTAGTCTCCAGTCATGTGACCGCTGTCTCCTCTCCTCGTCCACAGCGAGCAGAGAGCCTACACTGAGCGCTGCTGGAAGGATGTGCAGGTGGGAGACTTTGTGCGTCTGTCCTGTAACGAGATCATCCCCGCTGACATGCTGCTGCTCTACTCCTCCGACCCCCGAGGGGTGTGTTACATCGAGACCGCCAACCTGGACGGAGAGACCAACCTGAAGCAGAGACAGGTGGTGTCAGACCTCCCGCTGCAGGTAATACAGGAAGTGGATCAGTATGTGGAGAATCTGCACCTGTTCACCTCCCCTGTCACTTTCACTGACTTTTCCATACACTATATTTCACATTTCAAACTGAATGTAGATGACATATATTTATGTTTGTCATAAATCTGACTGAACATACATACATACACATAAAGAAAAGAAAAAGAGAGTTGTCCTTTCTCTACAAAAAATGATTGATTTGTTATAATAGAACCAGGCTTATAGGGGGTCAGCCCTATGTTCCCACAGCCCTATGTTCCCACAGCCCTATGTTCCCACAGCCCTATGTTCCCACATTTCTAAGAATGTTTTGAAAATTAGGCCCTATTTTCCCACAGTCTTATATGTTCCCATAAGCCCATGTCCACACTAACCCGGGTAATATTTATCCGGTTAGCCCTTCCGTCCACATTAGAACGGTGAATTCCGTAACTGAAAACGATGCTTTACAAAAACGGTCGCTGAGGTGGATAAATGTGAAGACGCCGTGGAACGTGGATGCAAAGCGTTCTGAAGGGGTATAAAAGGGGAATATAGGGCTGTGGGAACATAGACACGCTCCTGCTTATAGGACTGTTACATAGTTAACCTGTTTTTGCTATTATCTTCCCCATTTTATGAATGTCCATTGGATTTTCCATCAGTGCATTTAGAGTTGGGATTTCCCGTGATAACAACTTCCCGTTCAGATTCTTTTTACGAGCCACCAGCAGTAGATTCATTAAATAGTTACCTCTTCTCAACCAGTCTTGAGATATACTGTATATCCGAAATATACTGTCTTAATTTGTGGAGGGATTTCACATATAAACCCCTGGTAGGGCCGTGTGTATTCTTCCTGAGTTGTCTCTTGTGACATGTATACCAGAGATTCAGGGATGTTAATGCTAGCGGCTAAAGGTTACATTAGCTACTAGCCTCAAACAGATGAGGAGTGACCAGTGACATCACTTGAACAGTTTATCAGACTTTGGATCCACATAAGCAGTAATCCTCCCCAAGACCTGCAAACAGTTGTAGTTCCCCTGTAACCAGGGAAACCCAGAAATCCAGCAGGTTAACATTTGTTATCAAAATATCTCTAACTGAGGGTCACAGGTCAGAGGCTGATGTGAAGGCTTCTCCAACTCGCTGGCTCATGATTTAGTGTAAATGACACTGGGATGTTTATCTTCAGAGGGTGGACTTTGTTGTAGTTTACTGACAAGCAAACATCTAATACTTTGAATAAATGTCTATGTGTCTTGTGCAGCTCTATTATGTAGGAAAATAAGGATTTCATATACAAGAAGCTTTATATATATATAATGGTCAAAGGTAAAAAAAAAACCCATCTGCCTCCGTTTCCATCCACAATGTCATAAACACAACTCTTTATAGTGTGTGACAATAACACACAATCAGCAGTGATTTCAGCTTCTCTGTGCTGCCATAAACACCACGGTTAAACACAATAAAGATGATAATAAAGCTGTGTGCCTAATTAAGTGTGCTTGTGTGTGTGCGTGCGTGTGTGTTTTCAGGGAGCAGAGTTCACCCCTGAGAGCTTCCACAGTCGTATCGAGTGTGAGAACCCCAACAACGACCTCAGCAGGTTCAGAGGTTACATGTGAGTTTTTTTTAATGACACTCATTGACCCCGTGCACCCTGTCATTTTCCCTCAATCTCTGCAACAGAGGAAGTGAATGCAAAGTCAGCAAAAACCCACAGATGGGAAATACACCAGGCTGACAAGTACAGTGGTTTCAGGAAGCCTTCAGACCACTTCCCTTTTTACACACTGTAGAAATGAAAGTAAGCATGGCTCTGGCTATTTATTTCTCAACGTGTTCATGGTGTGTTTAAAAACAACTCTGACCGTCTAACACACTGTTAATGATGGCAGTATTATGCTAATACTTTCCATCATATTAGCTCTTTTTGTGACTCGGATTGTGAAACATTGTGAAAACATTAATGTAGTTTTAGACTTTGATCACCTTTATGTTAAAACAAGCTCTAGTCTACGGAGAGAAAATTCATATCGTGAAACAGGAAATCATCAAATATAAACCGTCTGTGTGTGTGTGTGTGTGTGTGTGTGTGTGTGTGTGTGTGTGTGTGTGTGTGTGTGTGTGTGTGTGTGTGTGTGTGTGTGTGCGCACACACGTGCACGCGTGTGTTCCACAGGGAGCACTCCAGTGGGGTTCGTGTCGGCCTCCATAACAGCAACCTCCTGCTGAGGAGCTGTACCATCCGCAACACTGAGAATGTGATGGGCATCGTGGTCTATGCTGGTAAGAGCCCTGATGGTTACTGACGAGGACGCTGTCCTAACTGCTCACCTCACTGCAGCTTTCTGTGTGGTGAGAGTTTGTTTTTCATGTCAGAACCAGCAGCTGTCCTCTCAGGGTGCTTTAGAGTGACTCACTGTGGCCCCCCAGGACTGTTGTGCTGTGCGTTCACCACAAACAGACAGCGTAATGACTGTACAGAGGAAACACAGCTTTCTCTGTTGTGTCACTCCAGTCTCTCCTCACCTTCATGAACTTGCGCAGACAGATCTTTGTCTCAATTTCACTTCCACTTTAAATCTTTGAATGGGCGTCATGTGGAACTGAGCAGCTCTGTTCGCTTCATGTTCAGTCTAACACTCCTTTACAATGCTTTTGTTGCCTGGATTACAAAACAGACTTATCAGTGAGGAAGTGTGTGTGGAGAAGTAACAGAAGAACTATGACAGTGAGCATATTCAACTTTTGACTGTTGAGGCCCTGAATGGCACTGAGCTGTCTGCCTGAGCCACTAAATCGTTACCCACCAGCACATAGCTTGAGATCCTCAGATAAGTCCCTCGTAACTGTTAGCTGTTAGCTGTTAGCTGTTAGCTGTTAGCTGTTAGCTGTTCCCCAGTCAAGGCTGAAGAGCAAAAGGGACAGGGCTACACCGCTCTGGAACAGACACATGGCTTTTTCTGAATTATTCCTCTGTTACTTCTTTTATCTCTTGTTACTTTTATTCATTATATTTATCATTACTTTCTATATGTTGTTATCAGTGGCGGCTGCTGGTCTTATAAGGAGGGAAAGCTCATTTTCGGCCTACATCATAAAATGTGTCTGTTTATTTATATGTAAATTCGCAGAGTGACAGAAGAGAGTCGCCAAACACAACGCTAGTCATTTTTAACAAAGACAAAGTCGCTGAGGATCAGTAACGTCTCCAGATCAACTCCGAACAATGGAATGAAAAACTTGAAAAATGCTCAGGTGGATGCTTATACTTCAAGATCGCTGATTCGCTCATTTCGCTGTCAATCAAAAAGGGACTCAGCCTCAGACAGATCATCCAATCATCATGCAGAAGCTAAGCGTCCGGGCCAGCCCACTGCCCCATAGACCCCCAGAGACGCTGAGCATCCGATGGGCGGGACAAAGCCCAGCATTTATCCAATGACCGTCTAGTTTCGCTGCAGTTGAACAACCCACTCTGTGCTTCCCCATTGAAGTCAGTATACTCTCGGCGTCTAAACTGTGTAAAGCACTGTGGCGCTGCGGGGATGAATGAACGTGTTCTAGCGCATATTTAGTCAATGAAATGTACACACAACAGCACATATTTGACCACTTATTTTGTTGACATTTTAGGGGAAGCTGAGCTTCCTTTGCAGTCTTAGAGTAATCGCCACTGGTTGTTATTTGTTGAACTGATTGCTTCCTGTTTTTTTTAAATTTCTTCTTGTTTGTGAAGCACTTTAGCCTATTGTACAGTGACCTGTCTTGTCTAACAAGTTCATGTAGTTTAACATAATTCAGCACTACTGTTGTGTTTCATGTCTCACGAGTGACTTGCTTACTGGTCGTGCCCTCTGTAATATCATGTCCTATCATGCTCTCCAAGTTGTGAAATCAGTTTGGCTGATGCACTTCCTCCAGTGTAATAATCTGTGGTCATGTGGTCTTGTCTCTGTGCTACTGTGTGATTTAGGTCATGAGACTAAAGCCATGATGAACAACAGCGGGCCGAGGTACAAGCGCAGCCGGCTGGAGAAGCGTCTGAACACAGACGTTCTGTGGTGTGTGGCCCTGCTAGTCGTCATGTGTCTGACTGCTGCTATAGGTGTGGACAGCGCTGACTGAAACTACACAGCTCTCACTTCAGCACAGTATCACTACAGTTGTAGATGGTGTAAAACAACAGTGAGTGTTCAGTGCTCAGAGTGATGACCTGCTCTGATGTCCTGGTGTTTTTCAGGTCACGGCCTCTGGCTGAAGAACCTCAGAGACCCCGTCTTTCAGATCGATGGGGAGACAAATCCTGCCCTGGCTGGATTCTATGTCTTCTGGACCATGATCATCGTGCTGCAGGTCTAATGTCAACCATTTTCACACTCTTATTAAAGGACTGACTTCTCTCTTATGATGATCTGACTGATGTGCGTTCGTTGCTTCAGATACTGATGAGATAATGAAAGAGTCATGAGTCTGAAGGTTGATAAGACACTAAAACACAACACAGCAGTTTATATATATATGTATTATATACTATCTACTATATGCATTTATATGCTATCAGGTGATCAGATCATTTAATCCACAATCACTGTGACTGTGAAATTAACAGAACAAACAGAGTCATTCCCAAGATGTGTGCTTGCACATGATTGGCCAACATGTGACATCGCTAAAGTTAGGCTTTGTGATGTTGTCACCCCCTCTGATCCATTAAACCCATTGAATTGACATTGTGTTTCTCAGTCTCATCAACATGTTTCTGTCTGGGTTATATAAAGCTTTAGTTTTATTTATTTACATGTGTATAGCTTTACATGTCCTCTATTTCTGTCCAACAGGTGCTGATTCCCATTTCTCTGTATGTGTCCATTGAGATTGTGAAACTGGGCCAGATCTACTTCATCCACAACGACTTGGCCTTGTACAACGAGCAGCTGGACTCCAGGATCCAGTGCCGGGCCCTCAACATCACTGAGGACCTAGGTCAGATCCAGTACCTGTTCTCTGATAAGACAGGGACTCTGACAGAAAACAAGATGGTGTTCTGCCGCTGCAGCATCTACGGGGTGGAGTATCCGCATGAGGACAACGGTAAGAACTGATCATGTGACTCACACAGGAATCATCTAATTAGAGCAGAGGTCCAGCAGGAACACTGAGAGGTTCCTCTGACTGTGTGAGTGAAGATGAGAGTGTATGAGCAGGAAACAGGCAGCAGCAGCAGCAGCTGCAGCTTCAGCTTCCCTCGGCCCTGAGTGTGACTGTCAGCAGTTAAATGATCAACATCTCCAGTGACAGGTCGTATCAGCTGATGCAAATGATGGTTAACTCTGTGAGGAACCTGGTGACCGCACAGACATCAACTGTCTGCTGCGGGGTTTGTGTGTGGGCTCATCAGAGTGACAGGTTGTGTCTAGTAAAACGATCAGCTGATTACCTCACATCTGACTCATAGTGACACACATAGGCGGAGAAGAGAGTGTCAGTGTTCAACAAGACAGTCTGAGCGTCAGGCATGTCACAAAAATATTGATAATTCAAACTAGAGGTGTTCAGTGATATTTGTTTGATATTAAATGCAGTAAATACAGCTATGAAATAAATCCTGAAATAACCAAATTAGGTTATACAGGTATATGTAGAGATATATAAGTAAATATAAATATATATCACTGAATCACACACTAGTGTTCTGGTGCTGTTGCTACGGTGAGATTACCACGCCCCATCATTTGAATATAACAGATGGAAATAAATGTGGCATTTGGAAATAAAAGTCTCCGGAAATAAATAAAAATGCAATTTTTGAAATAAAAAGTTATTTATTTATTGACTCACTTATATATTTATATTTACATGTATTTATATATTTCCACATTCCCTACCTAATTTATTTATTTCAGGATTTATTTCATAGCTGTATTCATTTATTTATTTAATATTGATTTAGATGGCATTCCATATCATACAGTGGATGTCTGTAGATGACTGAGTGAGTGAAGAAGTTGAAGTTACACCATTGGTCAGCTGAGTGTTGGTCTTTTCCCATTGGCTATTGTTCTTTCAAAATGATTTGATGATTTGGAGTGAACAATTTCTATGACATCATCAGGGTGCATTTACATTGGATCCACAAAGTTTTCAGCTGCTGTAGTTCCTCATAGAGTGGGCGGGGCCTTTATTTACCTCACCTGCAGAAGGTTACAGGGGCTGGTTGCATAAAACACCTTAAGTTAAGATTTTCCTCAAAGTCAGAGTTAAGGTTTCCTTAATATAAAAACGGTTGCACAAAACAAGTCTTCTCTAAGTCTTCTCCTTAAGGTTTCCTTAAAATGTTCACTCAATTTTTTAAGGTTTTCTCTCTTATCTTTATACTTAAGGAATCACTTAAAGTCAGTTAAACTGTTGAACAAAAGACCTTATTGACCAAAGTAAGGAAAAAACTATGGCAATATGGCTGAGCTTAAATGAAGAAAATGAAAACATCTCAAGAAGAGTGTCCATGAGCAGGAGACACCCTTAACGATGAGGAACTGACGCTACATCACAGATCTGAGCTGCAGAGCTGGAACCACTTTCCACAGCCCAATGATTGTTGTACAGTTTTATGCCACATGATCTTTCTGGTCAGGTGCAGTCGAGGCGTTTCATGTCTTTCTGTAAAATCTCTTTCACTGCTGCAAATGCCTCAACTTTTTTCCTTAACTAAGGAAACATTTTAAGAGATTCTGTGCAACACCCTGAAGTAACACCCTCAGCTAAAGAGAAGTAAAACCTTCAGTGACATACTTAAGTAGAAAACTTAAGGTTTTTTGTGCACCCAGCCCTGGTCTTTCTCAGAGGCAGGTCTTTAGCTTTACCTCTATGCGTAGCCGTGTCTCAGTGTCAGTGTCTGTGTTGCAGCTCGGAGGCTGGAGGTGTACGAGGAGAAGAAGAACAGGTCGGCTGGTCAGTCTATGACTCTCAGGTCAGGCTGCAGCGGGAAGTCTCTGAGCTGTCATTCCCTCAGCTGCAACCGCAGCTCCGTGTCTCTGCACACGCTCACTGCAGAGTCAGAGGAGGAGGAGGACGACAACCAACCGTCCAATCACGTCCAGCCCAGGACCAGCGCCTTCTGCGGCCGCATGGTCAGACACACATTCACCTACAGCACAGACACAGTAGTTTGTTTACTCTGATTCCACGCTGAATACACTCCTGGAATCATACCTAATATCATCCATCTGTCTGTCTACAGTATCTGGACTTTTACACATGTTTTTTAGTTCATTAAAATAATAATCAGCTGTGATTTGAGTAGATTTGGGTGAATATAGAAAGAAGTGAGGAAGATGATTTTCAGATGAGTAAAAGCAGTGGTTACCTGGTTACCTTTTTTTCAATATACAGGAAGTTCTATTGGTTCATCTACTGCAGTGGCTGTGGCCCACTGGTGGGATGTGACGGTATTGCAAGTGGGCCGAAAAATCATTTGCAAAACAACAAAGAACAATTTTGATGAAAAGATGTCGTTATAAACCAGAATCACCTCCTCCTGGTTGTTTCCTCCACCAACCAGCCAAGTTACAGGAAGTATGGTCACAGTCTCTCCTTCCTGAATCACAGTGTTGAATAATTACAGAATTATGATGTCACAGTGAAGCTGACCTTTGAGCTTTTGGATATAAAATGTCATCACTTCATTTTATCCTTATAGACATTTGAGTTAAATTGTGTCTGAATTAGTGAATGAAATTGTGAGTTATGGTGTAAAACGTGTTTTGTGAGGTCACAGTGACCTTGACCTTTAACCACCAAAATCTAATCAGTTCATCCCTGAGTCCAAGTGAAAGTTCTGTCAAGGAGTTATTTACTGAGATATCATGTCGCAGGCACTGATGCATAATAAAAAAATAAAAATAAAGTTTTTAAATACTTAAAAACAAAATGATCATTAAAAACATTAAAAATGTTTAAAAACCCCTTTTATTGCTTTTTCCTCCTGTTATTGAGGTCTATCTCTGGGATAAGCCAGTAAGAGGAACTTTGTTGTCGCCGGGTCGGACCACATCATAGACTTGTTTATTATCTCAGTCTGATAGCGCGCTGAAACATTTCATCTTTGGTAAAAAAGTGGAGAATGAAAATGATAGTTGGTCAGCAACAGGAAGTTAAAGGCAAAGAGAGACAGAGACAGATGGTGAATCGATCTCTCCTCTGTGAAACAGAAAAGAAAAACTGGTCTTCCCCTGAATGTTCATTATCATTAAAATAAAAAGTGCTCTGAGAACACATTATTTGGCCTCCTTATGTTGTGGAGTCGGACGTGGGCGGCCAACATTTATTGTATTTTACTCTATTGCTGCCTATCTTCAGTATTAAACAGGTGATCAATAAGTTCCTTTATTTGGTTCATGAAACTGATTTAAAATTTGAGCCTCTGTTGACTCTGGTGAAGCATTAACAGGTCATCTCTATTTTCTCCACATTTCTTTCTTGATGTTCTTTATGACGTGAAGCAACTGTTTGCAGGTTTGGTGCTTGAAACTGATTTAGCTTTACTCCCAACAGTTGATCAGTAGTGATGGTTCATGCTGATGATGTGAAATCCCAGGAGCACCACGTTAAACACATTTATTGAGCTCCATCAGAATAATCTGTTCCTTTACTTGAAGCTCTGCCCCTGATGGATGATCTCCTGCTGCTTCTGTGTCTGTGTCCAGGAGAAGGAGGTGGTCCCGGACCCCGAGCTGCTCAGGAAGTTGAACTGGTTTTGCTCTCCTGTGCTGCCTCTGAACGAGGGCTCCTCCGGGACTCCGTCCAGCCTGGAGCTCACCTACATCACCGACTTCTTCCTGGCTCTGGCCATCTGTAACAGTGTGGTGGTGTCCTCGCCCAGTCAGCCGCGACATGCGGTGAGTACGCCTCAGGAGTCGCGGTCAGGACCTCCAACACGTCTGAGAGCGGGATCAGCTGTTTGTTTGTTTACGTTGATTCAGTGGTTGGAGGATCCTCTCTCCATCCTGATTCACCAAAGTTTTAACATCACTGAGCTGATGATGATGTCCAGCCCATGTGACGAGCTGCTAGTTCACAGTGTGACCCAGCCTCGTATTTCCACTGTATCTACTCAGGTGAAACTGGCTCAATGATCAGCTTCCTCTGAAAACCGTAGAACAGTCCATTGTTCAGTCTCTGTAGAGCTGGGCTGCAGCCGAAAAGTCTTTTTTTCTAATGAAGGTTGAAACTGAGTGAAATGAGCTGGAGTGTCTGAGCAGCATCATGATCAGAGCTGCTCCACTTCTCTACATGAGGAGGAAAGGAGCTTCATTGCTTCCTATCTCTTCTCCTTCAGCATAGGAAACACTGGAGCTTCCTTTATCAAAGGAAAGGAGAAATGCCGACCCACAATTCCTTGCTGCAGCAACATTTAAAGCGACGCACCATTGTAGTTTCACCACAGCAGAGCCACATACATGTAGAAACAACAGAGAAACAGTTTAATGTTTGTGACTGGATCCAGAACTGAAGGAAATCCCTGTCTGATCCACTGAAGCCCAAATCCATGAATATAGATTTCTTCTCTTTAAATCCAGTCAGGAGTCGTCATGGAGAACAAGCAGCTTGACTTTATAGTCAACAATATCATCATCATATCAAAATACTACAGCCTATACATAAATGTTGTTGCACTAAATCCCCTCCCATTGTGTCGAACACTAGAAATGAATCTCCTCTACTTAACAATTATATAGAATATAGTGGCTGCTGCAACATTAGGATTAATAAAGCTCCTTTATTGTGTGTAATCAGTTCTATATTTAGTTCTTCTTCTGATCCATCTTCTTCTTCTTCTTTGTTTTTCCTCCACTTCCTCTTCAGGTGCCTGTGGCTCGGACTCCTCTCAAGTCTCTGGAGGAGATCAAGCTGATGTTCCAGCGCTTCAGCTTCTCTCCGTTCTCCGCCCTCTCCACCCTCTCCCCTCCCCAGATCAAAGGCAGCCCTCGAAACTTCACCAGCAGGCTGTTCACCTGGGGGAAGGCCGGCTCCTTCAACGTCACCTCAGCCCCCAGCAGCAGCGCAGACGGGTCAGAACTGAGCCAAGAAGGCAACCTGGAAACCTCCCACCTGAAGCGTGAACTGGACTTATCCTCCAGAGAGGAGGGAGGAGACGGTGGACAAGTGGAGGACAGGGGGACAGAGAGCGATAAGACCGACACAAGGACAGACCGTGACGGGCCCAGACAGAGTTTGGAAGTGGACTCTGACAGCGACACTGATGATGAACTGCTGTATGAGGCAGAGAGTCCAGACGAGGCGGCTCTGGTCCACGCCGCCCGGGCGTACCGCTGCACCTTGAGGGGGCGCTCTGCAGAGAGCCTGCTGGTGGATCTGCCGGGAATCGGGTCTCTGGCCGTCCAGCTGCTGCACGTCCTGCCCTTTGACTCCAACAGGAAGAGGATGTCGGTGGTGGTCCGCCACCCGCTCACAGGACAGGTGGTGGTTTACACCAAGGGAGCCGACTCAGTCATTATGGACCTGTCGGAGACACCTAAAGGTAATTAACAGGGGGAACATGAATGAGGAGGGAGCCCACACAGTCCTGACTGTGTGTGTGTGACTCTGTGTGTGTGTGTGTGTGTGTGTGTGTGATGTGTTCAGGTGCAGAGCAGGCTCAGGAGATCTACACTCACATCAGAGATCAGACCCAGAAACACCTGGACAGCTACGCCAGAGAAGGCCTCCGCACACTCTGCTTCGCTAAGAAGGTGAGACACAGCTTAGACACAATGATTACTGAAAACAAAAACATACATGTCAAAATTATATATGAAACCTATTAGAAATTGGAATCATATCATATATTTCAATATTTGTTCAGCCCATACAAATATGTACGTTTATGTTTATGTGACTGGATCATGTGGAAGATTTCAAATGTCTAAAAAAAATCACAAATCAAATATAGAAATAAAGTGAAAAACGTGTTGGAATTATTTAGCTTTGTGCCTTTAATAACTGAATCAAATCACACAACACAGGAAACAAAGTGAGGAGGTGTGTTACATGAGTAGTGACACATTGAGGAGGTGCAGGGAGTTTTTATTTTTTTATCTTTTCAAGATGGAGACTAATCCTCCATCTCAAAATGAAAAATAATCAACTGCCCAATCACAGCTTGGGGGTGGGGCCATGCGCAGAGCTTAATATTTGTGATGCAGCCTGATGTCAGGCACAGAAGTGAACAGTTTCCTGTACATGTAGTTACAGGTGTGGTTGTCTGCAGGTGGACTGTGACTCAGCTGGACCAGGGTCCACTCAGGACTGAACTACCCATGTTACCATGTTAGTGTGTCAGGTTAGTGAGTGACTGTGTGCTCGGTGTCCTGGCAGGTCCTGGAGGAGGAGGAGTACGAGGAGTGGATGAAGAGGCAGCTGCTGGCAGAGAGCAGCATAGAGAACAGAGAGGAGCTGCTGCTGGAGTCGGCCCAGAGACTGGAGACCAACCTGACCCTGCTGGGTACCAGAGCCACGCTGCAGCCCACACCTGAGCACTGATACTGACCTCACAGCTGGCAGCAGCAGGTATCACAGTGTCTGTGTGTGTGTGTGTGTGTGTGTGTGTTCAGGTACCACAGGGATTGTGGACCGGCTGCAGGAGGAAGTCCCAGAGACCATCGAGGCTCTCCAGAGGGCTGGGATCAGAGTCTGGGTCCTGACTGGAGACAAACAGGAGACAGCCATCAACATTGCCTATGCCTGCAAACTGCTGCGTCCCAACGACCAGCTGCTGACGGCCAACTGTGGCAGCAGGGTCAGTGGTCTGAGGGGTGGTAGCTCTGCTGTTGGGTTATTTGGAGAAGTGGAGATGTTTTTGTGTTTATGTTTATAATCTGTTGTTATATAGTTTTTTTTTAATCCATTTTTTCCAATTAAAAATAATCTGTGACAGAAAAAACAAAGTGCAAATTAAAGCCGCTGAAAACTCTCCGCTGCATCATTAATGTACAGTAAGTCTATGTGACAGCACTGACTTCTCTAACACCAGGAAGCATGTGCAGCTCTTCTGCAAGAGCTCAGACTGGAGGTGCAGGGTGGTGAGGACGGTGTGACTGAGCCGGCTGCAGCAGGGACGGAGGAGTCGTCGTCGTCCTCTGGCAGCGTGGGAAGCTTCATCCTGGTCATAGATGGACAGACGCTGGACTGGGCCCTGCAGGAGGAGCTGCAGAGCCTCTTCCTACAGCTGAGCTGCAGATGTAAGGCAGTCATCTGCTGCAGGTCCACTCCACTGCAGAAGAGCCAGGTGGTCCGGCTGATCCGGGACCAGCTTGGAGTCATGACCCTGGCTGTGGGTAAGAACTCAGTCTGCAGCATGAAAAGTGCTTGAAAGATTCCCACATGGTGGTAGTTAAAGAAGTACAGAGACAGATCTCTGTGTATGTGTTTGATTTTGTTCTGAGTGTGTATATATATATATATATATAAATATCATAAATATCATAAATATCCATGTCTAATGTGATGGCATCAACTGTGGACTGAAGAACACATGAGGCTGCTGTCAGCTGAGAAAAGCATCATCAAACAGCATTTACACACTCATGTCCCTCACAGAAAAACCACATGAATTTCACATGTGCAAAATCACATGGACCCATGTAATCACATGTAGTGTAATGTGTGAATATAAAATCCCATGTGAAACCCACACATCAACCCCTTGGGGTTACATGTGACACCCGTACTTAACATGAAACTTTGATTTACATGTGAAATCACAACATAACATTGATCTTTTTCACATGTAAAAAAGGCATTCACATATAAAGCTGAAAACATGTTTTTTTCTATTTATTTTACATGGAGTTTATTCCACATGTGAAACTTGGGCTCACATGTGCAATGTGTCACTGCACATATGTCACTATCATTTTCACATGCAAACATTTCACATGTGAATTATATAAATCACATGAAGAACAAATGTGAAAATTAGGTTCCCATGTAAGTCACAAAACACATGAAATGCTTCAGTTCACATGCGATATGTTGAATTTCACACCTGCATTTTTTTATTATTTAATCTTCAAACAGGAAGTCTTTGCTCATAAACATGGAGGACAGTGACAGGTGTTTTTGTTCCTGTAGGCGACGGAGCCAATGACGTGAGCATGATTCAGACGGCCGATGTGGGCATCGGGATATCTGGTCAGGAGGGGATGCAGGTGAGGAGCACTACATCCATCCTGACAGAGCGCCCACTAAAACCACACAGGTCTTCATGAACGTCATGGAGGGAGAGTTTATTAGCACCTGTCTCCTCCAGCTGCTGCAGCTGCGGCAGCCGCACAGTGAGGACTTGTTTACACTTCTCTGAAACTCCCAGAGCCAGTGAGATTCAGCTGTGCTCATGTTAGCATCTGTGTTACATTAGCATCTACAGTCCAGACTGTTAGTATTTTGACAGTTACATTTTCCTTGTACTTCAGTAAAGAAGCCAAGAAAGGCCATACTCCAAAGATAACAAAGCTCCTTTTCCCGAGATAACAAGATATTATCAGGAGAAAACATTTTTTTGTTATCTCCAGATAACGAGATAATTATCCCGTTATCTCCAGATAACAACACTTGTTTTTCTCCTATAATGACAATGTTAATCAGAGATCAGATGCAGATGGAAACTTCTGGAGCTGTAAAGTGAAAACGTCAGGACGACACATTGATCAACGCTTCAGACAATATTTCAATCAACAGCAGAAATCCGACTGTGTCTTTTCCTACAAGGTCATTATCAGATCCTCGTCAGCTAACAAGTTACTAAGGATTGCTGCTAAGGAGGATTGTTGCTACGAAGGAGTGTTACTGCGACTTAGTGTATGAGGTTCAGTCAGCATCATTTTCTCCTGTTAATGTCACGTTATCTCGGGAGAACGAGCTGTTATCTTGAGATAACGGGATAAAAAATGTTTGCGAGTGTGGCCTTTCTCAGCTTCCGTACTTCAGTCTCAATCTGAAAGGATGTAGGCGGACATGTTTCCTTCACACTGATGATGATGATGATGATGATGATTAAGAGAAGACCAGAAACTCAGAAGACTCACTGCCTCATAAACAGAGAGAGACCAGGTTTCAGTTCACTAAAACACACTGTCAGAGATCTGGAGCAGAGGAGTTCTAGGGACTGATGAGACAAAAATCTACCTTCGTCATAATGATGGGAAGATGTGACGGCTCGTGATCCTCCTCATGGTTCGGGTTCTGGTTCTGGCTCCAGTGGATCTGACTCACGGTTACTGACTGATGATTTCCCAGCTGACAGAACACAGAGGTCTACAGGAGCGGTCTGTGGATCGGGCTCAGACAAATCCATCAAAACTCACTGGACCACGTTTCATCAACCGAAGAGGTTTTCAGGGTGAGCAGGTGGAGCATATCCTGGACCGGCCGAGTCAGTCAGCCCACCTACCGTCTGACCGAGCTGCAGGCCACCTGCTAGAAACCAGACTGAAGACAGAGAGACCCCACAACAAGAAGGAGCTGAAGGCCCCCGCAGCAAAGAAGATACAGAGAGTCTGATGATGTCTGTGGGTGGAGACTTCACGTGTCCAGTTACTTTTGAACCTCTAATGTTCGAGTGCTGTGTGTTAAAAGGTTAATATTGTCCACACAGTTGTTTCTACATTATAGTGTGAAGACTATACACATGTCCACACACTGATGGTCTGTGAGTGGTATTACAGCAGCCAGTATCACTGTGGTTTCACCTGACTGCAGGTAACACACCTGTCTGTACCCTCCTCCTGAACACTGCGGTATCGTGTGTGTGTGTGTGTGTGTGTGTGTGTGTGTGTGTGTCGCTCGTCAGGCTGTGATGTCCAGTGACTTCGCCGTGTCCAGGTTTAAACACCTGAGCAAGCTGCTGCTGGTCCATGGTCGCTGGTGCTGCTCTCGTCTGGCCAACATGGTCCTCTACTTCATCTACAAGAACGTGGTGAGTCACTGACCAGCGCTACTTACATTACAGAATCTGGTGATGGTAAATGACTGCATTCATATCATACAGAACATTTCACCCATTCACACGCATTCATGCAGCTCATGTCTGACACACATACACACACACACACACTCACTCACACTCACACACGCCGGGAATCGAACCACCGACCTTCAGATCAGGGGACGACTCGCTCTTTCCCCTGAACCACGGCTACCCATAAGGCCTTGGTTTTGGCTCTAACATTCGGCGCCCTATCACTGTGGCGGCGTGATGCCGCTACAGAAGCGCTGAAAAGCCAATTAAATATTTTTTGCCAGGATCATTTTTCATCTGTGAAAAGAACCTGAGAGAAGCAAGTGAATTTTTTTCTTTCTTCTCAAAAAAAAAAGACAAAAAAAACAAAAACATATTTGTTTGTTTTTTTAAAAACATTTTTGTATTTTTTTTCCGCAAAAAAAAAAAAAATTACAAAAATGATCCTGGAGAACAAAGTGAACTTTTTTCTTTCTTTTTTTTCTATTTTTTCTTTCTTCTCAAAAAAACTAAAAATAAACGTCAAAAACATTTATTTTTTCACACAAAACAACTTTTAAAATGAGGAAGGAAAGGAAGGAAAGGAAGTGAATTTTCAGACTCAATACTTGGAGCAAAGGCACAACAATAATGAAATAAAGGTTAAAATGTAAATCAAATATTTGATTAAACACCCAGCCAGTAAATGCATTTAAACTGGCTTAAAAATGTGTTGTAGTTAAAGCAGGAAGTGGTCTGCACTGATCTAAAGATTAGTAATTTGTCATAATTACAGTATCTTTTGTCATGTCAGTGTTCGAGTCACATGATTTCTCCCACTAACACTTCTGCTGACTGACACAAGCACTACACAATCCAGCTGAGATTCAAACCCCATCCAGATGTTGGAGAGTCCTGATCCCTGTCTGTCTCTGTGTGCAGATGTATGTGAACCTGCTGTTCTGGTATCAGTTCTTCTGTGGTTTCTCTGGGAGCGTCATGACCAACTCCTGGGTCCTCATCTTGTTCAACCTGATCTTCACCTCCGTCCCTCCTCTCATCTACGGCGTTCTGGACCAGGACATCCCTGCGGACTCTCTGATGAGGCTGCCTGAGCTCTACCAGGCTGCACAGGCCTCCAAGGTCACCGCGCACACACAAAGACACACAAAGAGAGAGCATCCCAGCTGTTTTTCAGCACAGTAACAACAACAGTACAAAGCTTCCTACAGCACTTCTGACCGCAGGGCATTATTTGTTTGGGTGTTAGTATGTCTCACCACTAGGGGGCAGTAACACATTGGTGATGGGTCATGTTACACAATCAGGTCAAGTTTTTTTGTCTTAAGATACTAAAATAGTGTTTGCATTGACATATACTACAGTATGATAATATAGGAATATATGCTAAGGCTTGATTTATCCTTATTAATGAGTATGACTTGACTGTAATATCAACTGAGCTAATGAAGAAGGATTTAGGATTAATCACAGGAATGTTACACTGGGTTGAGTTAGGCTGATCAGATGATCGCTGATAGTTTATGTCTTTGACAATGTCAAGACAGTATTTGGCTCGTCTTCACATTCATAATTTATCATTATTATTATTATTAGAAGTAATAATTATTTTAGTAGTAGGAGTAGTAGTGTTGTTGTTGTTGTTAGTAGTAGTATTAGATTAATATTAAATTCAATTTGTCCCGCCACGGTGTCAGCTCAGCGTCCCCTGCATATAACTGATACATACACCAAAGCATGTATGTCACTTGGTTCAGTTTGTCAGCTGCTGCTCTTCATGGTTGTTAATAGAACTTCTGGCTCTAACAGGGAAGTGAAAGGAGAGTGAACAAGAGAGAGAGAGAGAGAAATGAAAACCATGAACAGCTGTTTCCCTGCCTCTATCTGATTAAATGTAATTAAATAACACTTTGGGATTTTTTTGTAGTTTTAACACAGACATGTAACGTATTCATCATCCTCCTGAGGCTGTGTTCGCTCTGAGGGACTCAAGCTGACTCAGTGGTTGTGAGGTCCTGCTGCAGTCCCGCCTGTGGACACTCACAGATGTCTCCTGTGTCTCTGCAGGTCTATGTTCCCCGCATGTTCTGGATCAACGTCCTGGATGCATTTTACCAGAGTCTCATCTGCTTCTTTGTCCCGTACTTTGTAAGTGATCATTCAGTTTTTGATCTCTGGGTGTGTAACGTCACACACTCGCGACGTAGTAACACTGTTGTGGTCTCAGGCTCTTGCAGGTTCAGAGGTCGGGGAGCTGGCCTTCGGTTCTCCCATCAACGCCTCAGCTCTGCTCGTCATCCTGCTGCACCAAGTCCTGGAGAGTCACACTCTGGTCAGACACACACCTGCACTACCACTTCTTTGACTGTGCGTCCTGCAGTGTGTATGTGTGTGGACCACAGTGTGACCCTCTGCGTTGTCTTGCAGACCTGGATTCACGTCCTGATCCTGGTCCTCAGTGCTGGTTCCTACTTTGGCTTCGTGCTGCTCTTCAGTGTGTCCTGTGTGACCTGCAGCCCCCCCACCAACCCTGTGGGGGTGGAGACACTCCAGATGTCACAGCCTCTCTTCTACATTATATGTGCTATCACCACGGTGACAGCTCTGTTACCCAGGTACACAGACACGCACCCTCACATACACATACAACCATACACAAACACATATTAACCCCCCCTCCCACACACACACACACACACACACACACACACACATCAGTGCAGCCTAGCGTGAAGAATGTGTCACAACTCATCAGGTCTGTTTCCAAAACATCAGCTTCATGCAGCCGACACCAGCTGCTGTCTCGTGTGTCCTCTGCACCCTCCAGTACCTGAACATCCCTCTGCATGAGGCTGGTCCTCATCAGCTGGTAGCAGTCATATACTCAGAGCAGAGCCAGCTGCTGACACACAGGAGATACAGGCCAACACCTGGACACTGTAGGAGCATCAAACATCCCAAGGAATTAAACACACAATGTGAAAAACCTGGAGGACCCTCAGAGAGCACAGACTCCGGTGGCCCTGAGAGCTCAACGCACTGCAAACACATGCAAACAGACAAAACACACACAAGTCCAGAAAACATCTTCATCACTCTCACAACACATGAGCTGCACAGACTCACAACACAACCAAGTACACAAACACACTAAAATACACTTAATATTGTTTTCTCCTTTAGAATATTTCTCTGCAGAAGCTCCAGTAGCACAGCCCTGTATACAGACTGATCATGATCATGTGACCATTAGATATTTACAAGTGTCTGTTCTGCTGTTCATCAGACTGTGGTGAACACACCAGACATGTTAACATGTGATTCATCTCTCTCTCCAGAGTGTTACATTCAGGTGTATGAGGTGAAAATGACAAGTGAATTCAGGTGTCATGATACAGTCTGTTTTAGGCTGAATTATTATTATTATTATTATTATTAATAATAAATGAGTTATAAAAATCAGATCAAACTGTCAGTCAATAGTCATGTGTTTACATCAACATAACATATAGAGGCAGAATAAAGTGTCACTGTCCTCTGGTGGACAAACTATGTAATGAATATTCAGATTCAGACATTTTATTATCCCAAGTTGGAAACTTGATCTGCAGCCAGGGGTTCAGATTAAAAACAGATAAAAAACAAAATGGAACAATATACACAACACAATAAAACACACAACACAATAAAACACACAACACTGTAAAAAGACAGTTTACATGTGCAGATTCAGCAGGGTTGTTGCACAGGGGATAAAGGAGGTTTTTTAGTCCTAGTGCACCTGAACCTGGAACTCTAAATCTACAGGCTCCAAACTCAGAATGAAGGGGGTGGGACACTATTATTATTCATTACAATTACCCGAAGAGGGAAGAGGGCCCCTCGTTTTTCTGTCCACCCAGTCCTGCCTTTTTTTTTTGCCATTTATATTGATCCTCCGTATCTGTTATCAAGAATAAAAAATAATCTCTCTGCAGCCAAAGTCTGCAGACAGAAATCAGGGTAAAAAAAACACTGCACCAGCAGGTTTCCTGGAGGAACAATAATGAATCACTGAATCTATATTTTGACCGGCAGTTGTAAATGTGTTTATAATATTCTGATAAAAAAAGAACTGAACATCAACCCAAAGACGAGGCAGTGAGGGCAGGTGAAAACACAGATTCCAATCAGCTGAATCTAACACAGGTGCACTTCAGTCAAGCTGTAGAAACCCCTCAGAGATGATCCAGAGAAATAGAGGAGCCTGAGCTAAACTCACAGTCATAGTAAAGTGTCTGAATACATGTAAATAAAACTGCATCATAACACCATGTGAATCAGTTCAGGAATGATGTCTTCTCTGTGGATTGTGACGCCCTCTGTCCTGTGCATCCACGTCTCCTGCAGGATGTTGTGTCGAGCTGTGTACAACACCCTCTACCGCTCTGCTGCTCTGAGATCAGCTCAGAGGGACGATGCGGATTCAGAGGACTACCACAGGAGAATGAAGCGCTGGAACCTGAGGCACTCCAGAGTCAACAACAGGCTGCCAGTGTGTGCAGACAACCCGGGCCTGGAGCCCAGCACGGCTTCAGTGGTGTCCTGACCACACACACACACACACACACACATGCACACACACACACACACATGCACACACACACAGGTGGAGAGTCATGAGAGCAGGCAGACTCACACCAGTATGATCTTGACCTGACAGTCCAGAGAAGACTGGATTTCAGAGCACGCCACAGACAGAGGAATATTCCATGGTGCAATAAAACTCTCTGTCCATATGTTCCCTCTGTGTTGCACTACTCCTCTCTCTGTGTGGACAGACTCGGGCTCAGTCTGCTACAGGTCAGCAGCCAAAGAACTCACGGTGATGTTCCATGAAGAGAACCGTGTTTTTAACTGGACTGGTTCTACTGGATGCATCAGTTCTGCTGAACGCCGTGAGCCACCATGTTACAGGACGCCTGCTGGATTCATGTTACAGTCACACCGCAGCTGAAAGAAACCAAATCTGCTGTTACGTCTTAGCTTTCAACCACCACCTGTGGCCTTCTTCAGTGGATGGAATTGCTCAGTTATCATGGACAGAGACACAAACCAGGTGTAGAGTCTCTGTGTGGAGGAGGCAGACGGGTATCACTGCTGTGTGTGTGATCCAGGTGTTTTGCCGCTGTTATCTCTGTAACCTGCCTGCTGATGAACAAACACAGTGACCGGCTGACAGCTCAACTTCTCTCTCTGAAGCTGAGGGTCAGCCACAGTAGTCAGCTGTGTTCAGATTCAGGGGCCGCATCCGTCAGAGGACGTGGTCTACAAAGGGCCACACCTTCGTAGACCATGACATCACCAGCTGTTCCCGCCCCTTGCTGTCGCATCCAAACCGTGGCTCCTGTCACCTAGCAACATTACTTGACAACATGTAACTTTTTTTTTTTTCCACAAAAACTTGAGGTCTTAAAGGGACAGTTCGGGTTATATGACGTAGGGGTTGTGTGAGGGAGTCGTGCATAGTCAGCGTGTTACCTGCAGATTCAGATCAGCGCGCTGACAGACAGTTAAGAGGCAGACCAGCAGAGCGATGTGTTGCTGTGGGTAGGGCCAGCAGAAAAAAAACATGTTTTAGACACTTTTAAAAACGCCCACTGAAACAATCCAATATCTGTGTAAACGAATAGAATAGAATATTTTCAGGGGGTTTATCTTCCTATCAAAACACTACTTCCCTGTGGTACTACATTTTTTTTTCAACCACTGGACTACCGTATTCATATGAACAAGCGCACCTACAGCACAAACTGTATTACACCACTCTCTGGTTCACTCAGCTGACCTGCAACTGCACCTTGACACAGTGCGTAGAAATACGGATACTGGATTGTTTCAGTGGGCGGTTTTTAAAAGAGTCTGAAACACATTTTTTTTCTGCTCACCCTGTGCACAGCAACACATCACTCTGCTAGTGTGCTGTGTTCCCTGCCGCCTCTCGCAAACCGGCAGTGTGCTGATGTGAATCTACTGCAGGTAACACGCTGACTATACACGACTACCTCACACAACCCCACGTCAAATAACCCCAACTGTCCCTTTAAGGCTCTCGGTTTTAACAGTTGAACCCAATACTTACATTTAAAAGTGTAATCAGAGAGCTCTCTGTTGGTGTTGTTTGCTTTTAATTAGCGGCCCGCAATGAATCTTGGGATAGGTTGGGTCCAGGAAAAGAAGGACACATTTGAAGGAGCGTTTGAAATGGGACAGTGTAGTCGCACCGCTGTGACACAATTGATCTTCAAATGCAGCCTGTGAAGGATGCAGCCCCTGAATTGAGACAAAATTTATACTGTGAGTCTTACACTGAGCTGATTCTGGATCAGTGTGTTCATCTGCTGATGTTGTGTTTATATCTGACCTGACAGTCTCATCACAGTTTGTAACGTTCATTGTGTTTGTGTTATTAATATTTTAACCCCTGATTGAACCAAATGAGACTGAAATCCGGATCATTATTTATTCTGCAGTTGAAACGGAAGTTAACACGTGACAGGCTGGAAACACTTGCACCCGAGATCCAGTGGTTACTTCCTGAAGGACCGTGTGAGTTTCACCTCCATCAATACACCTCATGTTTACATACTGTTGTCATGTGACACAGTCGTTCAGTGATGGAGGTGCTGTTGTTATCAGTCTGTTTCATCATTGTTCATGTCATGTAAAATGAGTGGAGACTGAATGAAAACATGTTATTAAGTTTGTTAACCAGACTGAAAGTAGATCAGTAAGAAACAGGACTACTGATGCAGTGCAGCCAGTTTAAAGAAATGACCTTACTGCCTCTGTCTCTGAGTCCCTGTGATCATTGGGACAAAACCAAGCCTTAACTTTGATGCAGGACCTTCAGGTTCTTCCTACAGAAGACGTGATGACGAGTCACTGATGAGGATTTTTATAATGATTCAGTTGATTTGTTGGATGTATGAATATAAACCTCTGTATGTACAGACGTTTGTGTTTGACTTTGCAATAATGAAATAAAACTTTTTGTTCAGCCCTTGTGTAATCTGTAATCAGCAAAAAGGAAGCTTCTGGCTCAACGTACGCCTGAGTCCGGTTCATATACTTCCACATCTGGACAGATTCCAGCTGTTATTGACTGAGGAGCTGTAAGATTGTCTGTTTATGCGCCAGAATTGTTCCAGATGTGGAAGTAGCATCTGACAGTCATGCTGGCCAGATTCAGGCTGTTGAACACGGGCGTATACTGGGCTAGGAGTAAACAAGCATGTGGCCCAAGTGTGGGCTGGATTTATTTTGCTGTCTTTACTTGAGATGTGTAATGAAGTCGTGTTGTTGGGTTTGAAATGTTAGAATATTAAACCACATGACCAGATGAGAGTTACAGGAAACCCTACTTTTTTTTAAAAAGATGATTGGCTGAACATCATGTGACCATGTTAGGAAACAATGTTTACAAAATCAGGTTCCAGGTGAGTGTACCTGTACCTCACGTATGTTAATGGCCGAGAATGTAAAAAGGGGAAACAGACCAAAAACGTCTCATCGGAGCGTATTTCCTCCCTGGGCGTGTCCGTCCACTTTCACTTCTGCGTAGCTGCTGCTGCTGCAAGTCTCAGACCAGACCAGACCAGGACACGAGCACGGAGACTGGGAGTGGAGCTGCAGACATGAGTTTCTACAGGTCTGAGTCTGCTGAGGACACGAGGGACGAGCTGGAGACTCTGGGGTAAGACCGGTAACACTGTGACGTCAGGCTCACCTGCTTTAACAGAAAGGTGAAGGCTTACTGCAGCAGACTGCCGTAGTAAAATATCTAACTGTAGAATTCGCTGTCATCAGAGACTTGTCACTTACTGCTGCTCGGGTCTTGTTGACAGGTTGGACTCGTGATTTACTGTCCGTAGTCAAATATAATGTAACTAAAGGAAATTAGGGTGAAACTGTGTTAAATGATTTTCTTCCAGTAACAAACAGTTCCTCAGAAACTCTGTAAAACTGGTCCACACAGTTCTAACATCTGATAAAGTAAGACACTGAGTGCTGTCTTTATTAGCGACACGTTAAACGACCATTGTCCAGTTCATGATTCAGAAAACACTGAAGGAAAGAGCCGTTTCAGAGACCACTACCTAGACCTGCTAATGAGAGATTTGTTCTGTGCTTTCACAAACGGATTTTAAAGTGTGTTTCAAACAGCCCCGAGACTTTAACCCGGGAGTCTGACACACTTTAACTTCCCTTATTTGTCCCCTTAACAGTAGAATCCGAAGCTTACATTCAGTTTATCTATTTGTATTTATTTATTTATTCATTTTATTTAAAGAAGTCACTTTGAGATCAAGATCTCATTTAAAAATGAGACCCGAGTACAGACAAATGAAATAAATAACAAAAAGAAATGATTAATAGCAGAAAATTAAATCATATTGTCAGTGATTTTAAATATACATTCAGATGTGTGTTCATATGAACAAGTGCACATGTGTTTATATAAGCAGTGATCAGAGTGTACATTTAAATGCTTTTAGATATAAGTTAAGATTCACAACCAGGTAGACAATAAGATGACGACTTAAACACTCCTAACTGCAAGTCAGAAAAGAGATAACAGTTACATCCCAGGTCTGTCACACTTTTAATGAAGTTTATGTCTGATTTTCAGTCTGTTCTGTAAGTTATTCCACACTGCAGCATGATATCTGAAGGCTGCCAAGATTAGTATTTACGGCTGGAGCATATATCATCAGCCAGTCGTTAGAATGTGTATTAAAAGTGGAACGTCTTGGGCACAGGAGCGATGAGAGCTAGTAGTAGTGTTGATCTCACCTGGTAGATAGGGAGGGAGGAAGTATAAGACCAATACAACCTCCATCATTGTTCTCCGTGTTGAGGACAGTTTTCAGTGTCAAATGAAGAATCTGCAGCTGTATTTAAAACATGTTTTTTTTAAAAATATTTGGCTCATTTAAGCGACTTCTCCTTTGTATATCTTGTTGTTTTTTCTTGAATTTTTTTCACATCCTCAGTAACTGTTAATGCAAATACTGAACTTTCACATCAGCTTCCTGTTTTGCATCTGTCTCAAAGTCTGAGGTTTGTTTGACGGAAAACTCATCCCTCCATCCTCTGAAGACCCCTGGTGTATTCTTCTATAACCTACCTGCACATATCATCCAGCTGCTGCATGTTAGGCAGAGGAAATAAATCAATAGGATTGCAGGAGGTGACGATATGATCATATCCCTTTATTGTTTTGCTGAATTCTTTTGTTCAGCCTGCTGTAGGTCAGTGGTCTGGCTGTGATGGTGTGACAGGGACCTCCACATCACCCTTCAGATGGTCTGAGTCTGAGCTGATCCCAGTCCACCGGATCAGATCTGTGCACACATGTAGAAACATATCTTTACTAATACTGTAATATTGATTTCACCCCATTGACCAGTCCTACTTGTTGCTGCTTTTAAATGCTGTTTAAAACCAGAATTACCACCACTCAGACTAGTTTCAGATTACGTCCCTGTTTACCCAGAGTCATATAAAATATTAAATATATATTATTCCTGAGTGAAGGCTTTAGTTATGGCTAAAAAGCATTTTGTGAGATCACACTGACCTTTGACCATAGAATTCTAATCATTTCATACTTGAGTCCCAGTGAATATTTAAGTCAAATTTGAAGAAGTTCCCCCAAGGCGGTATGGAGTGTTTGACTTCCAGACTGTTGGATCATGCTGGTGAATCTCTCCTCTCAGCTCACCACAATATTACAGGTTATATTTATTTCCTGTGTTGAAGGTGGTACCATTATGACCTGTCCCGCCACGCTGCAGAAGCCCTTCTCTTATCCAACGGCAATGATGGAAGTTATCTGCTGAGAAACAGTAACGAGGGACAAGGCTGCTTCGCTCTGTCTGTCAGGTCAGTCACTTCACCTGGAGGAAGTGCACCATGGTGGTGGTTAGTTTGACTGATAAGGTGATACAGTACTTCATGTGTACAGACCAAAATGTTTATGTTGCACCAAGTATTGAAAAATGGTACCAAAGGTTGACAGTGAATGTTTGATTCATGAACTTCTTTATTTAATCTTTGATCATCCAGATAACCATGTTGATAGTTACAGATGATTTTATTTAGAAAAGTTTGTGCATGGCTGCTGCTAGAAAACATTTAGAAAATATTTAATACAACCTTTGGCTTCTTTTGTTAAATAAAAAATGAATCATATTTAGATCTATTTACGTTATTAGATATCCCAATGTCAGCTAAGAATAGAACTCCCCTGTTCTGCCCCAAGCATCAAGTAAAGTGCCAAAAACTGCAGTTCCTCTAATGACCACTAGAGTCTGACTCCAACAGTGAGTCAATCCCCATAGACTCCCATGTTAAAATGTCCAACTTTACAGAAATGAACATGTTTATAGCCAGGTACAAAAACAGTTTTGGTCTCTACAGCTAATTTCCTCCTTCATGACAACTGTTTATTTAACTCACCTGTTTACATTTTATTAAGACTTAAAGTTATGCTTAATTGAGGGCGTGGCCTCTTTGAGTGACAGGTGGGTGAGCGTATGATTGCCACAAAAAGGTATGCACCGAAGTCTCCACATACGCCCCTCCTCTTTGTCCATATCTGGATTATCTGGGAGTTAGGGGCGGAGTCAGATACTGCCAAGATGGCAACGGTGGAGCAGCTCAGTCTGAGCTTCAAAACCACTCTTCAGAAAGCTGTGGGTGATGTCATAGAGGCTATGTCTATCTTTATTTACAGTCTATGTTCTGCCCCCTAGTGGAAATGTCCCACTGTAGCAGCTTATTGTGCAGACTGATATTTTTGTAAGAATACGTCTTTGACCAGATTAAATGTTGTTTGTTTGTCAGGGCCAAGGATTCAGTGAAGCATTTTCATGTGACACGCAAAGACCACGGCTACGTGTTTGGGTTTAATGAGTTTAGGACCCTCCATGACTTTGTCAACCACTTTGCTAACCAGCCTCTGCTGGGCAGTGACACAGGTACGTAGACATTCAGGATTTTTATATGTTACCAGCTCATGCAATAAAACAATGTGTTGCTCTTTTGGCAAAACAGTTACAAGAGTCATGAAATACACCGGATAATAAAGCTTTAAAATCTCACAGGGAAATGTAAGACTCTACTCTGAAGGCAGTGTGTATTTTGAATCAAGTGTTGAATATGAACCTTGAATGATAGTCTACTGCCAAGCCAAAGTCCTAAGTATTCTAGTCTAAGTAGTCATCAAAGTCATCAAAAGCAGACAGGGGCTTGGGTTTGGATGGATTCTGGGACATATAAAATTGTATCATTAGCAAAGAAGTGGACATTGAAATATTGATTAGTAACAATTATATTATTTATGTATAATGTAAATGTAAACAACAATTGATATCAATCAAGGATAGACCCCTATAGCAAACCATTTCTGATTCTAAGGTGGCTTGACTGAAAACCATCAACAACAACAACAGTCTGAGACATGAACGTTGTGCTGTGGTTATAGCATGTTAATAAAGGTGCACAGTTTCTATTTACCAGTGACTCTAGGACTTTTGCTCAGAAAGGGAGTTTAGGTATTGGACAGTAGTTTGTGAGTGACATCTCCATCTTTATGCAAGGTTACTGATAAAAGGCTTAGGTTAAAATGTGAGCTAAATGTTGACAGATTAAGGCAGCGCTAAATTGAGTGGGGAGAACAGATTAAGTTCCAGTGATCTTTCAGTTTGCTAGCTGTCAGAGACAGTCCAGGTTAAAATCCCCGATTATCAATAACTCAGACGAAGCATACAGTGACCAGAGTTTTCCAACGTCATCCATACCATCAGATTGTGCTGAGGGAGGGAAATATAAACCAACAATGGTCACATGCAAGTCCTTACCAAGACAGAGGTCCGACACAATGTATTTGTATTTCTGAGGCTCTGAGCAGGAGGTGGGGTCGTGGATTGTGAGGCAGTCTTTTATGTTGATTAGGACTCCGCCTCCTTTACTTCTTCTGTCACAACTAAAATAATAGTAAGAATGATAATAAATAGTTTTTGTTTTATTTGTATTATTATAACTGACAAAGGTTGCATCTCCAATTTTCCTACAGCTGTTCCTGGGAACCTTCAATAAAGCAGCAGTAGATGATCTCAGTGTTCTTAGAGGTCTAGAGTTAATCAGGGAGTTAGAAATGTAGGTTGGTCCTTGTTCATCAAGGCTTTTGTATCTAAATGTAACAGGAAGCCAGTGCAGAGCAGCTAAAACTGGACTGATGTGCTCTCTCCTCTTGGTTCTGGTTCACAGGAGAGCTGCAGAGTTTTGAATGAGCTGAAGTCTCTCAGTGTTTTTTTTTCGGGAGCCCAGTAAAAAGAGCATTACAGTAATGGTTTGAAATGGTTTGAAATAAAAGCTTGAATCAATCTTTCAGCATCTTTTTGGTTTATAAATGGCCGTACTTTAGCTGTCTCTAAGGTGGAAAAATGATTTTTTTAGTCACCTGTGGGAAGTTTAGATCTGAATCTGAGATAATGTCGAGACTTGTAACCTCAGATTTAATCCAGGTAGTTTTCCCAGGTTTCCCCAAATTGTATCCCTTTATAGTGCTGTCATTATTTGGGATCTGAGGGAAAAGCCGTGTTTCAGTCAAACTAGGACATTTGGGAAAGTAAATTAAAGTCTTGAGATGTTTCAATTATACATGATTACTGGAGGTGACAAGTGGCAACACACCCTGTATTTTTTTCCAATGCACCAAGAGAAACTCCTCACATATCTGTGTTGTTGTTGGGTGTTTTAATGTCCCCCTCCCCCCTCCCCCCCAGGAACCCTGATTGTGCTGAAGTGTCCGTACCCCTGGCGTGTGGAGGAGCCGTCCATCTACGAGTCAGTGCGAGTTCACACGGCCATACAGACAGGACGCACAGAGAACGATCTCGTGGCGAACGCACCATCGGTATGACAACCCATTGCATACACCTGAGAGCAGGTGATATCAAGAAATACCACAATACCTCAGTGATGTCATGTGACCAAAACAACCCATGTGAGCAGTCACATTCAGCTTAAAAGATAATTCTGGATTATTACAACATGAGTATACTTTTGGCATCACTTCTAGCTGTATCACTTAACCATGAAGCTGTTGGGGCACCACAAGCTTAAGCTCAGTTTTCAACCACATCTCTCAGTCCTGACCAGTGAGTGGAGTTATTGCTCAGTTGTCGTCTAACTACGCATCTAATCAGTGAGGAGGAGGATGGAGGAGGGGTTGCTCCATGTCAGGGGAACACACTGGGTCAACTTGGACTTCATATGAGAATCCCACCCTGACTTAAGACCTGGACGTCGTTGCTAACTCAACAGGGAGCACCAGAAACGTGATGATGAGAGTGAGTCAAAAGCTCTCTGCTTGCTCTCCCTCTTCCCCTGAGAGGAAGACTGTGGTGGTGTATGACATCATCATAACATCACACGTTACAGCTGTTGAGAACACTACATCAGTGGATCAACAATAATCCTGGAAAAGACCAGACCAAAACCACTGACAGCATCAACTGGGAGGAGGTCAAAGGTCGTTGACCATGAGTCAGCTGTGAGCGGAGGAAGATCAAGGAGGACGTTCACATCTGACAGCAAGGGTTACCACACACTGCCACCTGTTATTGTGATGGGATGACTGGACTGAAAGGACCAACAGCTTCATTCACTGATGAACTGTGAGATGTGGTAGAAAAAAAGCTAGTAAGTGGACCTTGAGTAAGATGATTTTGGCCCAGATCCACGTTGTAATAAACCAGAATTATCTTTGAAAGTGAACACTGGACTCAGCAGTAGAGTGATGTTTGTATTAACGCTGATGTGTTTCCAGCTGGGCACTAAGGAGGGCTACCTGGTGAAACAAGGAGCGTTCGTGAAGGTGAGAGCAACAGGAAACCTGATGTCAGTTGTTGTGAGTGCAGGTGAAATGTTGTGTGACTGTAGTGGAGCAGGACTCCGGACTGATGTTTAACTCTTCTTCTAAACCTTTGTCCAGAACTGGAAACAGAGGTGGTTCACACTCAACAGATATGAGCTCAAGTACTTCAAAGACAACACGGTGAGAGCTGAATCTGCCGTTTAAGTGTCAGCTGCTTCCTGTCACTACAGACTACAGTTTGTCAGCTGCTGTGTGTCTGTGTTGCAGACTGAGGAGCCCATCCGGACCCTGGATCTGAGAGCCTGCTCTGCAGTCCAGTTTGACTACTCTCAGGACAGAGTCAACTGCTTCTGGTGAGTGATGGTCAGTCACTGATCAGAGCTGTGGAGGATGTAACATAAAGAAATGTGGAAGTTAAAACCAACTACACATGACTGTTTCAGCATTCAAAATATGCGGAGACTAGACTTAACTAAAGTAAGCAGTTCCTCTAATGACCACTAGAGTCTGACTCCAACAGTGAGTCAATCCCCTAAAAACAGTTTTGGTACGAGGGCGTGGCCTAAACTTAGCTTAACTAAACTAAACTAAACTAAACTAAACTAAACTACACTACACTGAACTAAACTAATCTAAACTACACAAAGATAAACTACACTAAACTAAACTAAACTTAGCTTAACTAAACTAAACTAAACTAAACTGCTGTTTGGTACAAAGGTCATGTAAAATGCTAGAGAAACCGCTGTCAGTCTTCAAATGCAGCCTCTGAAGGATGTGGCCCCTGAGTTGAGACACAGCTCATGTTTGCTAACAAGTAACGTACTCACGAGCTAGTGAGGGTTGACACACCCACACTGACAAGCTGGAGGTGGTGGTTGCTTGGAGAAGCAGGTGTGGACAGATTTACCTATTTGAAAACAATATTAGCCACGGGATGATGTAATAATGCAGGGGTCAGTCTGATGTGGATTTTACTGGTGAAAGTACAGAATTTAAACAAACACACAAAGGACTGAAACATGTATATATGATATGATAAAGGGATAATGTGGATGTAATATTGGCACAAACACAAACAGTAAAACATGAAGAGAGAGTATACATGAGAGCGGCCGCAGCTCTATAGTCTGTGTGTTTTCTGAACTCTACTTCCTCATGGCAGCAAAATCAAACATTTGAGTTAGTTTGTAAAAGAGGAAGTGTGGGGAGGTAAATAAGAGAAGGAAACAGGCGGTGGGAAGGAGAAGTGCCCATGAGCTCCCACCCCTCACTTTTATACAACATCAAATACTGATCAGTCAGTCATCCAGCCAGACAAGGAAGTGTTGGGTTTGATTTATATTCCCCTCCTCCTCCTCCTCCTCCTCCACCTCCTCCTCTTCCTCTTTCTCTTCTTTCATCCAGCAGGAGTCTGATAATTCTCAGGAACTGAGTTCTGCTATATCATGTCTGTTCTCTCCTGTTGTCAGTGTCATGGACGAAGGCTGAGGTCAAAGGTTAAGCTTTGTGCGCTCTGCATTTTTTCAACTAGAACCTGATTTTATGTCTCTGATGGACCTTTTTTCTATAGCCATCTAAATCTATAGCCCCTGAGACTCATGGGTAATATCTAGTTCCTTATATACAATTTTTTGAGGTGTGAAAGTATGTTTTTGTTGTTTTTATCATCATGGAGATATCAAAGATTCAGCTACATACACACACACACACACACACACACATATATATATATATATATATATAGAGAGAGAGAGAGAGAGAGAGCGAGGGAGAGGGAGAGAGAGAGAGCGAAAAAAGTCATTCTGGCTGCTCTGTTGAAGTTAGAGGTCAGCCAGCAAGTTTGTTCAGAAGTCTTGGTCTTACAAACTTGGTTTAAAGCAAAGCAAACAGACAGTTAACTGGTATCTTTGTACCAACTCACCACAGGCAGGGTATAAGTTAGCAACGTTAACATTACCGACTGATTCACATCTGTTCTGCATGCTATGGCGCTAGTTAGCATGCAATCTCCTCCTATTTTCACCAAATATATTACAGGCTACACTTCACCAGCTCACCTGGATCACTCACAGTGTCAGACCGGTCTGTCCAGGTCTCGTTTTTTTATTTTTATCTTAATTCTCAGGGACATGTCGTAAAGGACGGGGAAACCTATCATAACGTTTGATGCAAACAAATATTTACACAATCGTGTTCTGTAGTCTAGAGCGGAGCACTTCTACGTTTTGATTGGTTGTATCATAGCTCATTACCATAAAGCTGTTTGGACTCAGACAAACCGCCAACGGTCCTGCTGCTGCTCACTGTACAACAGTACCACAGAGGCCAGAGCAGGACGGCTGAGGAGGATCTCTGAGTCAGCAGTATGAAGACGTGATGACAGAACCTGGGACAGAATCTAACAACAGTGAGCCTGTGTGTGTGTGTAAACCTGAGAAACACAGTTTAGCTGAAGCACACCATCATGACATGAAACTGTGCTGAGGTTTCTGGGAATTCACAGATGAAACTGTACGATCACCCTCTGACTCACTGATCTTTAAGGTCAGATCTGGAACTGCTGAAACATGTTGTTCCAGAGGTAGTTGCTGTGCAGTGCAGCTGTATTGTGTTGTCACACAGAGACCAACAGGTAGAACCAGCAGACAGGAGCAGAGTCCTCTTCAGCGTCTAAAGGAAAATGTTTGGTCCTGTGTCCTCGTTCTCGACTAAACACACATGATGTTCATGTATAACACACTGTGACTTCCTTCCTGTCCTTCCGCTGGCTCCATATCTGTGTGTCCACAGCCTGGTGTTTCCTGAGAGGACGTTTTATCTCTGCACAAAGACGGGGGTGGAAGCAGATGAGTGGATCAAGATCCTGAGGTGGAAACTGGTGAGTTTGTTTTTGTCATCAGTAGCTCCGAGGGTGTGAGGGTCTCCACTCTGTATCACAGTATCAACAACTGCTGATAATGTGCAAGGTCCTATCTGTCATGGGGACTGCTGAAAAGCATTCTGGGAAACGGGTCACTCAGTAACAGTGAATCCATCTGTGTCTGAAGGAGGGGTTTACTTTAAACAAGGTATGTCATAGACTTGTGTAATATTAACCCACTTCCTTATTACTGGAAACACCATGTTTCTTCAACCACCATCCTCAGCTGGTTCAAACACAGGATGTGACTTTGATACAACCAGTTTAACCCTTGCTTATTTATACATACACACATGTTCTGTCCCGTTCTCGTTACATCATTCTGCCCAGGATGACAAAACACAGATACATATGATTACCTCTAATATAAACATTGAAACACGCACGCACACATATTACACACTCACACCATACACATCATATTCTTGTCATTTTTACATCTCTATAACTCTTCTTTTTCTTGTTCTTCTTTTTTTTTTTAAAAGTCAACATTGGCTAACTGACAGTGTAATGCTTAGTGCGGTGCTTCTCAAACTATTTCACATATAGAACCCTAAACTGACGCTAATTACACCACACACATCCATTTTTTTTTTTTTGCTTTTAGGTGTTTTATTGCAGAAAGTGTTTCAACCCATGACTGAAACAGTCAGATGTTCTGTCACTGTGTTACTTATAGATGGAATTACAGTGAAAATGAATTATTCTTCATTTTGGCTGGGGACCTGCAGGAACAGACGTTGGGTTATGGTCACCACACCTCATGACCAGAATGTCTGTATTTTATATATCAATCAAATTCTGGCAAGAGACGTTTGGAGTTTGGCCGCTTAACAACACAACTGAAACACAACTAAAATATTAGCAGGGGTTTGGCGAGACTCCCTGCTGCAGTTTGGTTGATGACACTCATTCTTCTTACTGTGAGTCTGATTGTGTTCACAATTGTCTCTTGAATAAGTGGAAACACTGTGATTGTCTCCACTTCTTGGTTTCTGGTATGATACAACACCTGATAGCTGGAAGTCCAATATAGCTGCTGACCTGGTGTGTAGTGAAGCAACGCAAGACGCTGGGAAGTTTATTAATAAATGAATAAAGATTTTTGACCAAACTGAGGAAATCTCAGAGCAACATTTATTCAACTCAAAGAAGGGATTTGAAGGGAGCAGGAAGTTTGACCTGACTTGATTTCACTGAGTTCCCTTCAGCAGTGACTCTCTGTTTGTCTCCAGTCACAGATACGAAAAGGTCGATGAGACGGACAGAAGGGGCCGCCTGCGTGAAGGACGTCACGTCACCTGGATGATCAGTGAAGAGTAAACTTGACAGAGACGCATTCCCCTGAGTGTACTGACCAGAGACGGGACTCCAGTTTGCTTTACGATGGTTCTCCAGCATGAGGAAGATGAGCCAGCAGCTCACATGTACAAACCTCGGACAGCTTCACTCTGTTAATCTGCTCTGAGTTCAACCACATGAGATACACAGACCTTAGGGCACAACCCCTCTCTCACAAACAGCTGTCAGATGTCACATGACTCAGCTGCTGTCAGGTGTGTTTACGTCCAGTATCCTGCAGGTGACCAGCAGCTATTCTGGAAAGTGTTACATTAAGAGTTAAAGTCTTCACCCGTATGAACAGGAAACATGTTGGATGAAGTGAGCTAAGCTGTGGGATACAACGTGAGCCATAATGAAGTATAGTGAATTATTACTTCCTGTTTGCTGTGTATCACTGGATGATCACTGTGCTGAACTGAAGAGAACTTTAACACCTTCTGGACGTACGGGGAGCTTCTGTTTTCTCTGGTTTCTGAACAGACCTATGGAAAGTATAAAATGATGTGTATCATTCATGTTTGACTGAATTATGACTGATTTCTGACACCGTTGATGTCTGCTGTGAGTTGAAGTTGATGTTTTTGGTAGAGTCTCCTGTCAGCACCTCCCTATTTCCCAAAGAATGTTTGTTCCTTTTATATTTAACATGAACTTTTACAATCAAGTTATTTAAAGGACTGGATTAAATATATAACACTTAAACTGACACTGTGTTTGTAGTACTCCCTGACTTCCTGACCCTGTCTCCAAGGCCCCTACTGAAGAGCCAAGTCTTAAACACAGCTCATTCACATGTAGTTTAGTTTTTAAAGAAGCCTCAGTAATTTCCTGTAACAGCTGACTGCAAACACCACTTAAACAGGAGGAAACAGTGCAGTTGTTGGGGACTATTTTCAGTCACAGATGAATTCATATCTGGTGCTGTAGTGCGTTTCCTGCAGCAGGACGGTGTGGGTGTGTTCATGGTGATGAAGAAACATGTCTCCCAGTGCAACAGTCGTGTGTCTTTAATATTGTTTGGACAACGATGGAGCGCTTATGGCTCAGAGGAAGAAGATATCAGACACTATAGTTGTTGTTCAGTTTGATCTTTTAATAACTACAACATGTTTCACTCCTGTGGCAGGAGAGAGTGGATTTTTTAAATACTGTAACAGTCAGCGTTAGATGAGATGAAGCTCAGCTCTGTGGTTCCCTGATGTCACTGTGTCAACCCTACAGGAGAGTGTGGTGCTGAGGACTGAAGACAAAGGATACACAGTGAGGTCCAGGAGTCTGAGAACAGGGGCCGGTTTCACAAAGATAAACTTTGACAGTGTCGTAGATAAAACAAACAGTCAGACTTCTCATTGATGTCTAAATTCATCTGTAGCACAAAGCAGATTAGGTCTTGACTTAAATTCAGTTAAACTTAAACTGGACAGTGGTACAATGAATTCTGGGTAAATTAAGACTTTTTTCAACATACAAAGAATGGCAGAACGAGGAACCGCATCCAACTGCTCAACTCCATTTACCCCAGCAGAAAAATGTTTGTCTACTGGAAGAGTTACAAGGACGTTTTACTTGAAGAGTGAAACAATAAAAAGAAAATTCTGATTCGGAAAATTGGCTGCTCTCTCCAGAGGAATGTTAGCAAACCACATGTATGAGCCACATTTTCCTGTTCTTTTGTTGTTGGGTCAGCGCAGGCATCACTGGTTGATACCATGGCAACATAGACCTGAGTTAGCCTCAGGCTGAGGTGTCTAATGTTTTTGGCTTGAAATTAGTCAGTCATTAGTCTTTATTTTTAACAGCTCCAAGTGGCAGCAGGAGTTGAATTCATAAAAGCCTCATAAAACCACATGTAGCTTTAACCTATAACACAGGATCAGTGTCTCAGTGTCACATTGAGAACAGCTGCAGACAAACCTCTAACAAAGAAATGAGCTGTGTGGAGAAACCGACCTTTACCTGAAGACCACAATACAAACAATATGTATTTTAAATCAAAACAATGAAAAACAAAGGAAGACCAGTTTAGGTGCTGAAATGAAACATTTATTCAGACGAGCTCAGTCTTAGCAGTGAAGATGCGAAATGATGGAGAGTACCTGAAGTCTATAGAAAACAGCAGGAAGTTAAGTCAACAGAGTAAAGTTCAACCATGATGTAAACAGGTCTGAAGATGTGAATACTTCCAATCATCATGTCGAACTGACAGGATTTCCCACAGGACTTGAATGCACCATTAGAGATGGAGAGACAGTGAGCAGGATGTGATCCAGATGTGGTCCAGACAGGGGGACAGTCTGGTCTGTTGGAGCTTATGTCACCTCCACCACCTGCCTCAGCTCCTCTATTAGTGGAGCCAGCTCCTTCTCCAGACTCATGATGATGCCTGCAGACACACGGTGTACTGCTGTCACTGCACCACTCAACAACACATGAACATGTGGAAACAGCTCAGCATCAATACAGGGCAAACTGTGATGACCCCTGACCTCTGATGACATCACCAGCACAACACATCCGTTCTGCACACAGACACCTCAGAACTTGGCTACAGGGGGCAAATTTACACTCAGTGAGCAATGAACACTGCTGCCTCTTTAGACCTCTACTGTCAGGACGTGTCCCTACAAGAATATTTTAGCAATATTAAACGGGTTGAAATCAACAGCAAGTGAACTGCTCTTTGCGCTTTAATGTTTCAGTACTTGCTGATAGTGTTAGTTTCTATTTCCCATCTGAACACTAGTTTTCATTTTTCCTGCTGAATAATAAATCACAGTTGCTGCTGCCATGACATATATTTGAAATTATCTAGAACAAATTCTCAGTTTAAACTTAGTAACATTTGAGAGAAGTTCAACATCTACAAGGGATGCTGCAATGACATTTTTTTGCCGCTGATACTGATACCCATCACCTATGAGTGAGATACTGTGCAACCCCGATCATCTTTGGCAGACATTGCAGATGGCATACATTATATCAGTCTAACACACTTTGTAAAAGTTCCACACGGCCGACATGTTGTTTTATTTTGGTGTCCTGTCGCGAGCCGGCACAGTGAACAAGGTGAGAGGCGGGACTACACTCCACAGCACACAGTGCTTCTCTCAGCCACAGACAGATTTAAGGTGATCAGTGACTAGAAGCATTAATGCCGATCTACCTATCAAATATTTTTATCAAAAATTGACCATTAATGATTGGCGACCGATCCATCGGGCATCCCTAACTGTTACAGTGGACAATGGTGACTGAAGAGATTTTACCTGTGTTGGCGTTGCTACTGGCGATGAAGCTGATGACCAGTGGTAACCGATTGAACTGCACAATCTGTTCAACACAGAGACACAGCAAACAGGTGAGGACCAAAACCAGGCGCACTCATAGTAAAGGGGATCACTGTAAGTTTTTCTACAAATATTACAATGGGGGGTCGGTCAGTGACCAGCTGACAGCATCCTACAGCTGAATGTGAGTCTAAGAACATGTTCACAGCTGATTTGAGGGGTTCAGTCTATGATCCAGCTTTAACAAGTTTACAGGACATCAGAATAATGAACAAGCTGTTTAGTATGTTTTAGTTCTAAATAAACGTGCCATCAGTCATAATACATCATGTTTGAGGTGGTTGACACTGACCTGAAAGGTCAATCATTTAAATCTATGATTCATGGAATCATTACTGTGGAGCAGGTGTCTGACCTGGTAAGTGTTGTAGTAGCAGATGATGCTCTTGTTCTTGGAGAGGCCCAGCTTGCTCCCCTGATCTGTGGCCAGAGCAAACGTGGACAAGAAGCCAGGTCTCAGAGCGTGGACTGGGGCGTTGTCATTGGCAACTGCAGTGACACAACAGCAACATTAACAACAACTGCCTGGGAGTGAAAGGCTCAGAAAATTTTACTGTAAATATAAACTACAACAGGCAGGACTTAAGGGTTTATTATGATTCAGAGATGCTTTCTCACCTTTGATCACCGGGACACCGTCCCTGTCTGTCACTACTATAGCATGAAGACCATCAACACTGAGGGAGAGGAGACAGCAGATTTCACTGCTGAAGCACTAAACATTCACATTGTTTCATTGTGACATGTGGCACAGCTTTAACATTAAATGTAAATTCAGCCATACTCACCTTTGCAGCTGTTTGTACAGGTATCTCTTCAAGTCCTACAAAGAAAAATATATCAGGTAAAAATGACTGAGGTAGATTAGCTTCTACACCGACCACCTGACTGACGAAGACACCGATGGACACCTCCAGTAAGCTACAGTTTGGTGGAGTGTTCTTTAGTCCAAACCTCATTAAAAAGATCTGTCACTCTAACGCCATCTTGCTCATAGTCACTTATGAACAACTTAGAGACAGAGTCTCGTGAAGATAGTGCCACACATAAAATCCAAGGTAGCTTACATAAAATCACTTTTGTACTCAAGCTGTATATTGTTGAAATGTTTAGGCACTACATATATGTAATATAAATGCATATATGCGTTTGGTTTTGTTGTAAAAATTAAAAAACGTGATGTGAATGAAGAGCAGAGGCTAACAGGCTAACGGGAGGAACTAAGGCCGTACTCACATCAGCCATGGCGGCCAGTGTTTGTCACCCAGACTCTCTGCAGCTGCAAGGACAAAACAAGCTCCATTAAATTCCATCATTGACAGAGTGACTCAAACTGTCTGTTAATATAACCGTGGGTTCCCTAAAATGGATTAGAGCATGCTAACAGGTTAGCTACTTAGCAAGAAAAGTGGCGAGATTCAGCTACTTCCTTCTAATTCAACCACTGACAGTTTGAGTTAAACTCGCGAGCTACATTAATGTGACATTTCTAAAGTTAAGAATTAAACAAGAGCAGCTCTACTTACCTTCTCTGAATCCTTTTCCTTGACTTCTCCACCTACAGCTACATACCAGACAAAAGCAGAAATCACATGACAACTTGTTTTGTTTCCGGCTCCTGAAGAAGTGTTCAGGGAAGTCCGTGCTGCGCAGCGTTGGCGCAGCGCGTCACACGCATGCTCAGTACGGTTAGAGAGAACCGTTCTATGTAGTAATCAGCTGCTGGAGGCTGCTGTTGGATGGCACAGGACTGTGGTCCAATAGAAGAGATTTTTCTTTAGTGTGTTTTATTCATTAGTCATACACCTTATATTTGATACCAGTGCCTTGGTTTGGTTTTATTTTTGTTGGGGACATTTTTTGTCAGGTGGCTAAAATAATTTCCATTTTATTCCACTTTATATTTGTACCTTCTACTACACTACATTTATTTGACAGCTTCAGTTACTTGATGAAGATTTTACACAATGATTAATATAACAAGCTAGTCATTTACCCCTCTAAACTTCTGACATGGTTTCATTCCAGTAAATATTAAAATGATATATCTCAGAGAAAATCATCATCATCTAAAAACAGCAGACATTACATTAAATAAGCAAGATATTGTCAGGACTATAACATTCACTGAAGCACTTGCACTGTACTGGGTTCCCTTTCACCCCAGGGAAAAAGTCAGTTTTCATAATATAATTCACACTGTGAGTGTATTTAGAATTGCTGAATTGTGGTGTGTTGTGTCACGAGAGTTAGTGTTAAGAGGGTATGTCAACCTTCACTTGCCACTAAATGGCCAATAAATTTTCCTCTGACCTGTCCACAAGCACGGCCATTGTGCATAATATCTGTATAAAGCTCTGCCAGAGTAAATACAAACACTTCCATGTTTCCTAGCACAACACTGCTCTCAGTTTTAAATTCTTTAGTTTTAGTTTTACTAATTTACAATTTACAACAGTCCAATGTCCAAATCCACAATGCCAAAAGTAATATTTATTTTTTCTCAGTTTACTGTTGTGTTGGTCTGTTGTGGAACATGTTGCTGTCCCCATCTTGTTTCTTCACTGAGTTTAGTTCATGTTGCAGTAAAATATTCTGCATGTTGTTTTTCTCCAAGGCCAAGCTCTCAATTTGAAGCTTTAAATCTTTTATTGGAGAAGCAGTATTGCATCTCTGTTTCTGTGGTAACAGAGGGACAGCAGATAAGGTAACTTTCGTGGTGTGGAAAAAGTTTTAAAATTTATGTGAACATTAACTGTACTTGAATATTATGTCAGAGTAAAAATGATCTTTATCTTTATTTTCAGATTTTGTGAAAATTGAACTGATACAAAAAATAATTTCATACTATGACATGTTGTTCACTGTGAGGCCTGACAAATGTGATTGCAACATCACTTTCCTCCCTCATTTCCTCATCTGGTTCACTGGAGATTTCAGTCAGGCTAAGATTTATTCTCTCACTAGAAAATAGACAGGAAAGCTCTTTCAGGGTTTTGGCACGAATGGACAGATTTCAGTAAGTCTCCTTACTGCCATGATGATGTCCGGCACTCTTCTTTTGGTGCTTCATTGATAGAGTCTGGAAAAAATTCACGACCAACACTGTGCGCAGCCACCACGCACAATGACTGTGTGTGCTGTGTCGCTGCTCCTGCCAGCTCTATCTGTCTACATAGAGTTTGCCTTGTACAATGGCCATCAGCAAGCTGCTCGAATGTTGGATTTCTTTTCATTGTAAATTAATTTGTGGTTTATTTTTGACAGAAAATGTAACTCATACTGAACGTCATATTCAGATTCAGCCTACATACTGAAACTATATTGGAAGGTGTCAGTTTAAAGGGAGAATGTTTGACGCTATTTCACTGCTGTGTGTCTGTTCAGGTGAAGAAGTCAGATGGGTTAAAGGTCTTTTGGTGGAAAAGTTTAGTTTTTATTTTTATATATGTTCTATATGGTTTGATTTCATAATTAGAGTTTATTATGACACTATATTTAACACTAATGGTGGATATTCGTCTGCATGTTATTTATTCTGTCTGAAAATATTTTGATGAATAAAGATTTTTTGTGTATTTTTAATGCACACATTGAAAATGTGCCACCATTTCACCATATCCCAGTACTCCCTGATGTGTCTGTCCAACAACTCATGAGGAGCAGTAACAGTAACACAAAATAAGTAACGGTTCAGGTAGTTGGCTATTGAGCACTTAAACATACAGTCTGTAACTTCTGCCTCTAGGGGTCTCTCAATCAGAACATTAACAAAAGATGGATGATGGGAGTTGTTGTCTTCACCATCATTACCGTAAGCTCTTCCTGGTTTGGATTCCTTCAGTGTCAGTGGTTCAGGAATCAAACAGACCAGGTGATTCTAACGGTTAAAAACACTGAATAAAGCAGTTTCACATTTAAAGTCAGTGTTTGAGCGACGCTGTACGGAGGACAGAGACTCAGGGAAGAGCTGGAGCTGAGATTGATGCTAACCTTTGTTCTGATTGTTTCTCTGGTAACTTATGAAGCAGACGTTCAGCAGGTTTTTACCAGCAGCTGAATTATCCACAGAGGTGTCCTCCTCTCCATAACAAACACACCAGGGGATTAAAACCAGTAGAAACACTGAATCAAGCAGTTTCACTTTAACAACCAGAGATTCAGCGACGGTCTTTAGTGACACAGGACAGGACGTCTCCAGCAGCTGGGAGCTGAGCTGTCTAACATTTCTTCAGCTTGTTTCTCTGGTAACTTCAGATCCAGACGTCCGACGACTAAAATCCTTCATCTGGTTCAAACATAGAGCTGAAAACCACCAAGGTGTACAAAGTGTATGTGGCTTAAAACTAGATAGAAGTCAATGTTGAGCTTCTGTCAGACAAACACACTGACACATGATCATAGAGGATATGATGTCATTGACAGGTGACCAAATGACACATACCATTACCATGATTAAAATCACAGATTTCTCTGGTTTGAGAATTGATGGAAATACTAATGTGAGAACACAACTCAACAACTTTTAGAACAAAGGTCTAGTTGTTTTGAGACATTTTAATGTGGAAAAGTTCAAGTTGGACTCTGTGAATGATATCCGAAAGTTCTGTGTTCTGTGTTTTAAAGTCTGTCTCCAGCAGGTTTGTTTGTTGCACTGTGAGACTGCTGAAAAACAGGCTGAATTTTGATCTTTACATTCCAGAATGGATTATTAATAAGCACCCCAGTGTTCACTTGAGACACCACACAGGTATCTGTAGATGGGGGTATCTCATAAATACAGTGATGAGTTCATTAAATTACAGTGGTGTCATTTTCAGTCACTACAGTAGAGGGCACCACAGCGTCAGTTTAAAATGTGAACTTCTCTCTGTCTGAGTGAGAATGGATCACTCTCATGTTCAGCAGTGATTTGACATGAGAGAATATAAATCTGACAGGAAGTTGTTTATGGTTCCAATTCTCCTCTTCTATGTTACCAACACACTCGGTTGTTTCATTGTACTTGTTGCAGAAACTTTACTGTATCAGTTCTATTATTATAATGCTCTAAGCTTTAAGTATATAAAAGCAGAACAGACAGTGTGTGAACACAGTCCACAGAGCTGTGCTGCGTTTAGAGGAATAAAAGGAACTCATTCCTCACACCATCTCCATGATGTATGAGGGTCTGAGCAGAGTCTGACACCTGCACAGTCAGTGATACTCTGCAGACTAGCTGTTTTAAGAGGGAGGGGGGGCAGGCGGGAGGGCTGGATGTCAACAAAGAGCACAGTGATATTAACAACAGCTAACTTCTAAGGTACTGGTCCAGTCAGTCAGGTGGATCCAGTCCCTCAGGTTCTGACAAGGGTCTGAGGCCATGATCTCTGTGCTGTGGAGGCAGCACAGAGACGGTGGAGGCAGTGACAGCAGAGTGACATTTACTCATGTACTAACACTGCTGTATGGTAACAGTGTTGTTTTATCACTTAATCCTTCATTTTGGCCGAACAGAGACTCTTGTGAGACTCATGTGAAAGAGAAATTGAAAAGTTAAATGATTATGCATAAAACTACAATCTCCGCCTCCTGGTTGTTTCCTCCACCAACCAGCCAAGTTACAGGAAATATAGTCACACTGCATTGAATGATGGCCAGAAGTTGTTTTGCAGAACATTATGATGTCACAGTGAAGTTGACCTTTGACTTTTTGGAAATAAAATGTCGTCACCTTATTTTATCCACATAATTTAGAATAAATAAAGTTAAATTGTGTCATAATTAGTTAACGAATGTGTGAGTTATGGTCAAAAACATCAAAATGTCATCAGTCGTCAGTCATACAGATTAGGTAGTCTATGTATTTTCTTGCATGTAAATGTATTTTATGTAAGTGTGTTATGTCAAAGTTATTTTATTGTTTTGCTGTTTGTTTTTTTTTTTACCAGATAAATAGTATAAAGTATAAACAGAAATGCCCACACAGTGTGCTGCAGCTGCTCCTATTTTTGGCGTTTGTGGCCAAAGAGCTCAGTTTGAACATCTGCTTCTCCAGATGATGCTTTGCAGATTTCAGACACTGGTTTATGTGAAGAGGACACAGGTAAGGTTTCCTCTAGGACTGTTGCTCTAGGACTGATGGCTGGAACAGCTGGAACAGCCAATCAGGAGAAGGCCTCATTAGACCCTATGAAAATTCCCTAAACCTGCCTTTGCTGTGTGCTTGTCATCTGGGGTGCGCATGAGCGCGTGCCACATGTATTCCAGTAGATAAGTCGTGGGCCCAGCGCTACCGCCCCACCCAACTCGCTGTTATGTCGCCGCCTCCACATGGTCAACTCCTTCTTCTCCTGCTCCTTAAAGTGGCACCGTCCATGTTCTTTCCCAGTCCCACCATCACGTCACGTATTGGCTGATATGGAGTTTACCCAAACCTTTGCATGTTATATCTTAGTTACTGTACAGAGAGGATATATGTTTGTTTGACAGAGGGGGAGGAGAGGGGAAGGACAGACCCACAGTGGGACTGTGAGGACCAGGTCCAGCCTGTCTTCTGACTGGATTGGTTAAAGCAAACAGATCCTCTGGCTGAGCAGTCCTCTGAAGACAGGCTCTTCCTGGGCCCCGTGAGGCTCTGCTGTTACTTTAAACT